TTTCATTATGTTCTTGTTATGTGGGAATTATTACATAAATATGTTGGATTCATACCTTTCATTGAGACGTAGGCTACCTCCAGTTCACATATTCCTTTCCCATTTAATAAACACATACTTGTTCAGGGCCAGCCTACAGTAACATCAGTCAGTTTATAATACACGTGAACATGCTCCACTTTACACATTTACATTTACATTTACATTTACTCTGCTTTTATCCAAAATGACTTACATTTGAGGAACAACATACAAGCATCAACAGAGCATAAAATACAGATCTACACCTGACAATACATACTAGTAAGAGCAGCAATAAATACTAGTAAGAGCTCATAGTACATATCACATCAATGGGATAAATACCTCGGGAAGGAAGTAAGAGTTAACAAAAAGTGCAATCAATACAAAAAAAGTGCAATCAGTACAAGATACTAAGGGGATAGAAGAAGAAGAGCACAGGAAGTGCATGTTAGAGGTTAGGAGTTAGAGGTGTTATAAGAGGAAGTGTTCTCGGAAGAGATGAGTTTTAAAGAGCTTCTTGAAAGTAGAGAGGGACGCCCCTGCTCCGATGGCGTATGGTAGCTTGTTCCACCATCATGGTGTCACAAATGAGAATAGCCGGGACTGGGATTGCTTTGTGTGAAGGGATGGCAGAGCCAGGCGGCGTTCGTTGGAGGAGCGTAGCGGGCGAGAAGGAATGTAAGTTTGTATTATGGAGTTTAGGTAGATGGGTGAAGACCCAGTAGTCACTCTGTATGCAAGCATTAGTGACTTGAATTTGATTCTGGAGGCCACGGGGAGCCAGTGGAGGTCACTGAGTAATGGAGTGACATGAGTCCTTTTAGGTTGATCAAAAACCAGACGCGCTGCTGCGTTCTGAACCATTTGCTAGGAGGGCATTGCAATAGTCGAGGCAAGAGATAACCATGGCCTATACCAGAAGCTGGGTGGCGTACTGAGTGAGGTAGGGCCTGATTTTCCTTGTGTTGTATAGAGCAAAGTGGCATGACCGAGAGACAGCATCAACATGGTCTGAAAAGGTAAGCTGGTCATCAATCATGAGTTTCTCACCACCCTAGTTGGAGTGATGGTTGAGGAGTCAATTTGTAGTTTGATGTTATGGTGGATAGATTGCTTGGCCGGAATGACCAAGAGTTCAGTCTTAGAGAGGTTTAGTTGAAGGTGGCAAGCCTTCATCCATGCAGATATGTCCGAGAGACAGCCCGTGATCCGCGCGGAGACAGTGGGATCGCCTGGCGGGAAGGATAGGTAGATTTGCGTATCGTCTGCATTGCAGTGGTAAGAGAAGCCGTGCGAGCAAATGATCGGCCCCAGTGAGGTGGTGTAAATTGAGAAGAGAACAGACCCTAGCACTGAGCCTTGGGGCACCCCTGTGGAGAAGCAGAGGGAGGAGGATAATTGTCCTTGCCGCAAAACATTGTAGGAACGCCCCGAGAGGTAGGATTCGAACCACAGGAGTGCTTTACTCGAGATACCCATTGCTGAGAGAGTGGATAGCAGGATCCTGAGGTTGACTGTGTCAAAGGCAGCTGATAGGTCAAGCAGGATAAGAACCGAGGATTGGGCTGCAGCTTTAGCTGAACTTAGGGCTTCTGTTACAGACAGAAGAGCCGTTTCAGTAGAGTGGGCACTCTTAAAACCAGACTGATATGGATCTAGGAGGAGAATTCAGAGACCTGTTTGAATACTGCCCGTTCAATAGTTTTGGATAAAAATGGTAGAAGAGACACTGGTCGATAGTTTTCAACTTGAGTTGGTCAAGTGAGAGCTTTTTGAGCAAAGTGGCATCCAAACAGTGAGAGAGGAAGATCTAAGAAGAGTAGATGGGTTAAATCACAGACTGTTAAACTCATCATGTGCTGATCATATAACGTATTTATGTGCTTCAGGCTGCTGAGGCAGAACCGAAGGCTTTATATATTTATGCTTCATGTCTTTACTGACCGCAGGCACTCATCATTACAAGATAATTAAAGGTTGCACCGATGCACAGAGGATGTGGCTTATGAAGTCATGGTGAAGCAGATGAAAACTCATTGAGAAAACTGATTGTCATCCCAAAGACAACAGGCTGAATTTGCTCCCAGCATGATGCAAGTTTCTGCTTTTTTATCTTCTGACATGTCTTAGACTTAATCGTAAGATTACCAAATCTGGTTTAATGTCTCTTGTCTATACCTGCTACATTAACTCATCCTTTTTTTCCTCTTTTCTTTTTAGCACATGGTGAAATCATAAATGGTAAAATGACCCCGGAGATCTTAATGCTGTTTATGGCCTCAGTGCTGAACAACAGGGGTCATGTATGTGGAGGATTCCTTATCAGTTAAGACTTTGTGGTCACTGCTGCGCACTGTGACCGCACTGTGACCGCCAGTGAGTTACTTCCCCTCAAAAGAGTTCAACCGACTCAACTTCCCAAGACTGATATTAAAATAAAAGATAAAGAAAAGTGCCGTGTAGCTGGATGGGGTTGGACTGGAAGTCGTCGTAAAGCTTTTGATGTACTGCAAGTTAGTGTTGTAGTCAAGACCGCCCAATCCGAGACCAAGTCAAGACCAAGACCAGAGTTTATTGAGACCAAGACAAGACCAAGACCTTTAGGGGCTGAGACCAAGTCGAGACCAAGACCGAGGGAGGGCGAGACTGAGTCAAGACCAAGACCAGTTCCCCACAATACATGACACACAATACAATGTGAAACAAGATCATAAGTACTTCTCAAATTGATCTGAAAGGTCCACATTCCCATTACAACACCCACATACAAACACTAAGAGCTGAAATCAACATAAGCATGGGGGGGGGGGGGGGGGGCAGTCGTTTTAAGGTTTATTGGTTGTATTTGAAGCAATAAGTTTTACATCCAATCAGAGTTTGGATGTTCACAAATAAATCAGACAATGAAAAAGCAATTTATTGATATTCCCAAAGTTACGGTCTTGACTGGTCTTGAAATAAAATCCCGAGACCTCAATGTCCAAGACCGAGACAAGACCAAGTAAAAAGGTGGTCGAGTCTGAGACAAGACCAAGACCATCAAAAAATCGTCTCAAGACCAAGACCGGTCTCAAGTACTACAACCTACTGCAAGTGGTGGACGTGCCTTTTGTCAAACTGGAGGTCTGTAAGAAAGAATGGGCTGATATTGGCAGTATCAAAATACCTTCCCTGGATCTAAAATGTTCTCAAGCAAAAGGATTGTTACTGTGTTGTATTATTAAATTATATTATATATTATAATACACTTTTACAGGCCTTTCTCAACAATTGACATCTTTATTTCTTTGGAAATTACTTTTTGGTTTTTGCACGAAAAGTGCTCTTCAAATAAAACTATTATGTTATTATTGAATGTAAGTTAAATATATATGTACATGTACCTATATATAAGTTTTTCTTTTCAAAAAGTTATAATGCTAAACTATCAGCTCAATCAATTAATAATGAATTTAACCAGGGCATGAGTTTCCTAACTGTGACATGACAAAATTGTAGATAAAACCTGCATCTGGAAACTATGGTTTCAGTGATTCGTGTAGTTGTCACAGAACTCAAACAAATGTTTCAGTGGGCTGTGTAGATAGATCCACACCAAAGACAACTGGTCTTGTGTTTGTGTACCCATAAAACTCAAACTAAGTTTTGTAATGGGAATTCCAAACATATTGCATGTACCCTGGACTTAGGGAAACTCGTCTGTGATGTGGCACTGAATCTGTGTAAACGTAACAGTCAAAATATCTCTGTTCTCCGTGTTATCCAGACTTCAGGGACAACTTGTCTCTGTGGGATGATATGATTGACCCTAAAGCTGGATAAATAACAGGCTCACTGAGCTCTCCTCACTCATTCGTGTGTAGAATGCGTGTTGCTGTGAGTCCTTCTGCAGAAGACTTGAATAAAACTCACAGAAAGCCTGAGCTGTTTATTTGAAAACCTCGGATTGCTAGCAAAGTTTCACTTAGTGAAGTGGCTGAGTAGTATCCAGAAAAGCAGGTGGTCCAAAATCGTGTCAGAAATCTGAGAGACAGACAAAGCAGCCTCTCTGTCTCTGTACTTGTCAGTCTTAAACTTTCACTTTTTGATTATGTGTCTCTGCACGCTCAACTGGGCAAGAAAGGGTTAGGGTAACATTAAAATGCACTTTGCTGTCACACGCATGCATGTATCCTGGGCATCATGTTGGTGAAGGCTCTCTCACAGACATTTTGAGCCCTTTCTGCACCCTTTGCATTGCTACTTGCGTTGAAACACGGGAGTTATCCGGCGTTACCAGGGGAAACCTGCACACACCCGCATCACAGCAAATCAGCCTTAAGACAGATGAAAGAATAAGAACAGTAAACAAACAAGCATTGAAGAAGCAACCAACCCAGACACTGACATAGTTTACTTATATTTAAATCAGAGGAATGCAATCACCTTTTTACACACCTAGAGAAGCAGATTACATGAAGATATGAACATACGGCCCCGCAACCCTGTACACAGGATAAGCGGTGGACGATGGATGGATGGATGGATGGGTGAACATACTGATACACATAATCTGGCAGTCTGCACCAGGCTACTGAGACCACAATCAAAAATACCATAATTAACCACAATATCACAAGCTGCAAATTAACATTGCAGAAAGAATCTGGATATCTCGGGCCTATAAACGAGGTATTAACTCCACTATAATACTTTTTTTTTTCAGAGCTTGGGGTTAGAATGATACATGGGGAAAAGCCCTGTGGAACTTAGTCCAGTATATAGTCTTGGTAAAGGACAACACCGGTTATGCACTTGTCAGTGCAGATAACATAAACAGACAAGATGATGCAAAGATAATACAAAACTTGCAAACTTGCAATGCAAGAAGGGATGTGGTTAGCATTCAAGATAAAATAGATATTAATCACATTTCACACATCAAGAAAACAAACTGCTGTATAAAAGGGTCCACTTGACACCCCCAAGAAGAAAAGTCAGTTAAGTTGCTGGCATCATGCATGGTCTGCACAAACTTCTGCTCTTTCATGTTCTGACATGTCTTGGACAAAACGGTAAGATTACTAAATCTTTTATTATCCTCCAACAATTTAATTAGAAATTAACTTAATATAGATGTTTTTTAATCTTTGCAGCACTTGGGGGTAAAATCATACATGGGGAAAAAGCCCCAGAGAACTCTATGCTGTATATGGTCTCTCTGCAGAACATCCGTGGTCATGTCTGTGGGGGATTCCTCATCAGAGAAGACTTTGTAGTCTCTGCTGCACACTGTGACCATGTGTGAGTTACTTTGCCTCTTCAGTCATTTTTTTAAATTGAATGTAAACAGAAGTAAAATTAAAAAGATTACATCAGGTTTTACAAACCCACTGTTTTCCAAAGAAATATATAAGTTGTAGCTTTGTATTGTTGTTGACACAACTTGAGGAAATCCACTAACAACTTCACAAATAACTTTTTCAGGAATCCCACACGTGTTGTTCTTGGCTCCCACAATCTCAAGGCTGGAAATACAGTGAGATCTATTGAAAAGAAGTACAAACCCACATCTTATGAGAATGTTGGAACAGGGAATGACATCATGCTCCTCAAAGTAAGTATATACATTTAGCGCAGTAGTCCCAGATGATATCTTGCATTTTACATATATTTAAATGTAAAAAGCGGGCAGTAAAAAACAGTATAAAATAAAAGTGTCCCTGAAATGCAATAATTTATTTTAAAACTGGCAAAAACACATCCCTATCAAAACTATTCAGGGCAGCTACCAATACATAAACTGTAATAATGCTAACAGTAACCTTCATTTTCATAATCATCAGCTCCAACTTATAACAATTGTTTAATTGAAATCTGATGAAGAGTTCAGACAGTTTTTAATTGATACTTTCTGATTTTGTGTGTCTCCAGCTGTCTAGTGCAGTTCAGCTGAACGAGAGAGTACAGCTTACCCAACTTCCCAAGACTGAAATTAGCATGAAAGATGGAGAAAAGTGCAGTGTGGCTGGATGGGGTATGACTGAAACTGGTGGTGCAGTTGTTGATGACCTGAGAGTGGTGGATGTGTCTGTCATCAATCTAGTAGACTGTAAGGAGAAATGGATGAAATTGGGGCATCTTCCTGCCAATGTTCTCTGTGCAGGTGGATATGACACAAAGAAAGGATTCTGTCAGGTATGTTTTCTGTCTGTTCATAGAAAGTCTCAACTGGTTTCTAGTCTAAACAATGTTTTAAACATTTTAAATTATCTTGAATAAACATTAAGATATTTCCTCCTCACAGGGTGATTCTGGTGGTCCTCTGGTGTGCAACGGGACAGCAGTTGGTATCGTGTCCTTCAACAAAGATTCCAACTGCAACTATCCAGACGTACCCAACGTCTACACAGACATATCAAAATACCTGCCCTGGATCAACAAGATTCTCAAGGAAAATAATTGTTCAAAGTAACAATCTCACACAGAGATTTGCTTCAGCATACTTTGATGGGTAGGGGCTGTTATGTCTGTGTCGCTTTGTCTCTTTAACGCAAAGGCAAAATAAAAACAACAAAATCTTTTCACATGTAGTTTCCTGTTTCCTTTTTTAGATGACACAAATGGTGTTTACATCATTTTGAAATAAATGCAAAGCTCCTTTTTCCAGCAATACATCCAAAAAATTTCTGTTTGATATAATATAGAAGAGCTACTATAACGGTTTTGTATTGGCAGACATTATTTAATGTGACATTTTACAATTATAATCAGAAATCATCATTATACAATTTACTTTATAGCACTCCCTAGCATAAAGCTGGATGGGGTTCAACAAGAACTCATGCTGAACTTGTAAATGACCTGCAACAGGTGGATGTTCCTATCATTAAGCTGGAAGAGTGTCAGAAGGCATGTGTTATGGCCTGGCTCAGAGGTTTTTCTTTATCTGCTGATAGTCTGAATTCGTTTTGACAGCATTTCATAAAATACGAAATCACAGGTCCATAACTAGCCTAAACTAGGTCTAATCTGTTTGACTAATATTTTTTTTTTTATCTTCAGTTATTGCCACCGACATTTAGTCCCATCAGGTTACAGCTGAATAAATAGGCCTGTAGCTATTTAAAATGAATAACAGGCTGTAGGAGAATTCCAGCACTTTATCATTCATTAAGGAAATTCCAGTCTGGTAAATGATGAATGAACAACGCTGTATAATATGTAATATTGTTAACATATCGATCCTTCCTCCACTCCTGCGTTTTAGAGCCTATGATGGTCTGCATTGGCAGCATTCATATTTCTAGCTCCACCCGATTAAAATGGAGGCTCTGCCTTTATTTACCTGTTGCCATGGTGAATCGTAGTATCGGAGCTCCATTGATGATGGATTTTTTTCATCCCCACGGACGCACTTCCAGCAGGTTCAACATAGTTGACTGAACTAATTTTAAACACCTGTTCTGAAACCGGAAACTCTGAGTTTGACAGCTCAGAGTTTGTCACCGAGTTCAGGTTCAGACTCAGAGTTTGCTGAACCTGCTTTCTGAAATGGGGCCCAGGAAATTCACGCTGCAACAAAATACAGACAGAGACACACACACACACACACACACACAAACAACCTGGCAGTCCCAGGGTAGCACAGTGAGTTCAAAAATGTCAATGGATTGTGATCTGTATAAATGATCACCGGATCTGAACCTACATACACCTCAAAGCGTTGCAAGGACCAAATCAGAGCCAACGCTTCTTTCTCTATTACAGAATAATAAAATGATATTTGTTAAATTATTTTGAATAGAAACCCACAGGTCGATCATTACCAAAATTATCCTGCTTTAACAGCACCCCAACTACCCCTACGTGACTGGCATCAACCTGAAGTTTAAATGGTTTGTCCATGCACGGAGCAACCAGAACAGGAGCATTGCACAGAATTACCTTCACATTTTCAAAAGCTTCCTGGCAGACAGGAGACCAGACACATTTTACCTTACCCTTCAAAAGATCTGTCAATGGCGCTACCACAGTTGAAAGGTTTCTACAGAAACCTCTGTAGTAACCCATCAAACCAAGAAATCTCATAAGATCTTTTTTTGTAGCTGTTCTGGTGGCTGCCCGGCTGACGGTGAGTGTCCTGGTTTTTTCTCCTTTTTATCAGTAATTCTGCCTTTTCCTTGGTTTTCTGTTCTCTGCCTGCCTCCCTGTGTTTTCTCCCCTGTGTGCTCTCTCTCTCTCCCTCTGCTCCTGAGCCCAGCCAACTACCTACACCTGCATCTCATCAGCCACACCTGCCAGTAGTCAACCTCATCCCTGCCTGTATTTCAACCCCGGTTCTCCACACCATCCTCGCTTGATCGTTGTTGCTCCATACCAGGTGCCACCTTCGTGTTCAGGCTTTCATGTTTCTTGGTTTTTCACAATTTCCCTGTGCTTTGTCACCGTCACCTCTAACCCCGTCTCTCTGTCTGTTTCCCTCCCAGGTACACTCACCCTCGTCCTCCGTTCAGTCAGCTGGGCTCATCCTCTCTTCCTCAGACTACCCCCACGGTGTCCTCCCTGTTCTCCCACCGCTCCTCACTTCCTCGGCCCAAGTGTTCCCCGGCTCCCTGGCCCCCAGGCTCCTTGGTTCCCCGTGCCTGTGTTTCCCCGACATCCACCTCTCCCTCCACTCCAGTCCCTCTACCCCTTTATCCCTCAATAAACCTCCTTCCCTCAGAGTGCTGCTTTTGGGTCCTTTCTGTCCCCACACCACACAACCCCATAACAGTAGCTGGAGGTGGATAACACTCAACTGCCTCTACTTTCGCATGCAAAAGACGCACTGTAGCCTAATAGCCTTCTTGCCAATATAATATGTGCAGGTGGATATGGAACAAAGAAAGGATTCTGTCTGTATGTTTTCTGCCCTTTGATAGAAAATGTCAGCTTATGAACGATTAAAATTAATAATAATATAATAATAATCCTTATTTGTAGAGCACTTTTCAAAAACAAGTTACAAAGTGCTTTAACAAGTGTAAAGAATAATACAAAAAAAAGATAAGAGCATGAAAATTTAATATAAAATTAGTAAAATACAATAAAATAAAAGGGATAAAATAAAGTCAAATAAGATCGGGAAAAGCTCTCCTATAAAAGTATGTTTTAAGAAGGGACTTAAAAGAGTTCACTGACTCAGCCGACCTGATTTCCTCGGGCAGGCTGTTCCAGAGCCTCGGGGCCCTGACAGCAAACGCTCTGTCCCCTTTAGTTTTCAGTCGAGACTCTGGAACAGACAACAGACCTCTGCCCGAGGATCTCAAGGTACGTGCTGGTGCGTATGGGACTAAAAGGTCAGAAATATAACAAGGCGAGAGGCCATGAAGAGCTTTAAAAGTGATCAATAGAATTTTAAAGTCAATTCTAAAACATACTGGGAGCCAGTGTAATGAAGCTAAAATAGGAGTAATGTGGTCATATTTCTTTGTTCTGGTTAAAAGCCTGGCAGCTGAGTTCTGGACAGTCTGGAGTCGATCAATAGATTTTTGGGTTAAACAGGTGAAAAGGCTGTTGCAATAATCCAGGCGTGATGAGATGAAGGCGTGTAAAATGGTCTCGGTGTCCTTAAAAGTTAACATAGATCGAATTTTAGCTATATTTCTAAGTTGATAAAAACATGATTGAACAAGCTTTGTGGTGTGCTGCTCGAAATTTAAATTACTATCAAACCAAACACCAAGGTTCTTTGCCACAGGCTTAATGTGATTTACTAGGGAACCAGCAGATGGCAGTATTTGATTTGCCATCTGCTGGGACCCGATGACCAGGATTTCTGTTTTGTCTGAGTTCAGCTGGAGGAAATTATTTGACATCCATTTTTTAACTTCACAAAGGCAGTTGTTAAGTGAACTCAGCATTCCAGGGTCTGTGGATCTGACGGGCAAGTATATTTGTGTGTCATCAGCATAAATATGAAAAGAAATGCCATGTTTATGGATAATATGTCCAAGGGGAAGCAGATACAAGGAAAACAAAATGGGTCCTAAGACCGACCCCTGAGGCACACCATATTTAACTGGACAGAATGAGGAGACATAGTTGTTTACAGACACGCAAAACTTCCTATTTGACAGGTAGGATGAAAACCATTCTAGAGCAGTACCAGAGATCCCCACCCAGTGCCTCAGTCTGTCTAACATGATGTTGTGATCAATGGTGTCAAAAGCAGCGCTAAGGTCCAGGAGTACAAGGACTGAGCACATACCTTCATCAGCAGACATTAAAAGGTCATTGGTGACTTTAAGCAGGGCAGTCTCAGTGCTGTGGTACTTCCTAAAACCAGACTGAAACTTTTCAAATATTTTGTTATTTTCCAGTACAGTGAGCAGCTGTTTGGACACAATTCTTTCTAGAATCTTTGCAGTAAAATGCAGTTTTGAAATTGGTCTAAAATTTTGTGGGAGGGAGGGATCTAAACCAGGTTTCTTTAAAAGTGGGTTCACGCAAGCCGTTTTAAAATAATCAGGGACACAACCAGTAGATAGGGAGCTGTTGAAAACAGAGATCAAATGGGGCCCAACAGAATCTATTACTTTTAGTAAAAATTTTGTAGGTATTATATCAAGTGGGCTGGAGGACACTCTCATTTGTGATATTGTTTTTAAAAGCTCAGACAAGTCGATGGGATAAAACTGGTTAAAACTCTGTTGTTGCTGGTGAGGAACCTCTGAGTAAGAGTCCACGGGGGTAATAGAGGCTCTGATTGACACCACCTTATTGGTAAAATAAGATAAAAACAATTCACAGTCATCATTACTGTAATGAGTTCAGAAAAATAGTGTGTTCTCGCATCCTTAACCATTTTATTGTAGTTAATTAATAAATCCTTCAGACTGAGGTAATGGACTTGGAGACTGGATTTTTTCCATCTGCGCTCTGCTTTCCTGCATTCCCTTTTTAGGCTGCGAATGCTGTCATTTATCCAGGGTTGCTTACTAGCTTTAGACGTAGGCCTAACCTTTAGAGGAGCAGTAATATTTAGTGACAACAAGCAGATATGATTGAAGTGATCGACCAGATTGTTGGTGTTTGAATCAGACAGGTGTTGGCTTTGGCTCTGAAAGAATGTGCAAAACTTTGAAACACTTTGTTCACCAAGAACACACGGAGCTTGGTGAGGCGGCATGAGTAACAGGAGAATCGCAGCTAAAAACAATATATCTGTGGTCAGATATGGTCATGCTGGAGCCAGTCGTGGAGGCCAAGGAGTCTACTGAAGTGGCCAGCACCGCGACCAACTGTGGGAATGGGACCAGAGATAAAAACGGAAAAAACTTTCCACACTGCTTTAAAAAGTTAAAAAGACTGTTAAAATCTGATTTTGTCAGCTCAGACTGCCAAAGAGCTGTGTCATTTGTTCCGACATGGACTATCACTCTTGTGATGGAGGACGGGAGCGATGGCATTAGGTCCTGGAGTTTTTTTTTAATGTCAGCCGTGGTGGCACCAGGGAAGCAGTGAGTGGTAGCGTTAAAGAAACGGATGTTTCTGGTTATAGAGTCACCAATTATTAGTGTGGTTGGGGAGAAAAGGGGACGAGGAGATGCCAGAGTTAGATTTGTCTTTGAGATTCAGGTTAAAAACAGTGTCTCCTAGAAGCCATCTACTGCTGATTTTAAACTTTCTGTACCTACGAGTCATTTCAACACCAAAATATGTCAAAATGGTGCCCAGGTTTAAAAATACTGAGATTATCCTTTAACGATCTGTTGCCGTGAGGAGTCAGACAGCTTTCCCTCGCCTTGATGATACGACCTCCATCAGGTTTCTTGGTCAGTGTAGATTCAATTAACTGTGAAAGGAGTAGAAGACAAGACAATATTCTGTGGTGGGAATTGCGTGTTTAAATAAACAGCTTAGGCAAACACTTGTCTTTCTGTGAATTTTATTCAAGTCTTCTGCAGAAGGAACTCACGGGGACACACTACACATCAGAGAGTATCATACGAGTGAGCTGCAGTGACACAGCTCATGCAGCTTTTATCTTAGTCTCAGGGTCGGAGTATCTTATCAAAGGAACCTGGAGTCTTTCAGTGTTCCCTAGGGGAAGAAACTAAGAAATGATTCAGATTAAACTTCACTTTCATCCCCACTGCAAGGTGGGATCCACTCCACTGAATCAGTGGGTGCAGTTGGTAATTGCATGTACTGACCCATAGATGATTTAATTGCTGTAGCAATCATAGATCTAGCACAAGGGATCACACAGCATGTCAGGAAGAGGAAAACACCAAGAATGATAAACAGTGGGGTCAACATTTTAAACAGCACATTCTTCCATCCGCCTGTTGTTAGCCACGCCTGGCTCCATTATCCCATGTGGTGCCACAGGTTGCTGTAACCATCTGCTTACATGAAGATGTTCCCAGGAAACGATCTGTTCTGAGACACTGTCTGGTGAAACACTCCATGCCAAAAATATATAATCATGAACAACATACAGTAAATACCCCTACAGAAATAACTACCAATTAAAAACTGTGCAAAGAAGGCTCTCACAATAAATTCAGTTTATGCATAAACTTACATGTTTGACATCATTATCAGCCTTCTGTCGTTTTCTGAAAGTACTTCATTCCTCATCCAGGATGACCATGACATCTGAGCCACAAGCTGAAACGTACAGTGCTGAGTTGGTTACAACATCAAGCAGTGGCCTGGTGAACTGGGAAGAGCTGGAAGTGTAGTCCAGGAGAGACAGAGAGGATAGAAAAAATAAAAACCATTTGTTGTTTTTTCACAACCAAAGTATAACTGGGTCTTTTCTGAAAGAAATGGGAATCAAGTTTACCGTTGTCAGATCTGACAGTAAATACACCAGCATTGGGTTGCTGTGATACTTCTTCAGAGACGTCTGCGTCCCCTTCTCATCATAAACTGATGCCTCCGCTGCCAGCTGGGATGGATACCACTATCGACACTTTACTATTATTTAGTGATGGTTATTTGGTAAGACCAGACCCAACGGGCATGAGGTAGGCCTGCACGGTATGAGGAAAATATTCAATGTGCCATAACATATTAAATGCCTGGTTGTTTTTAATGTAATATTTTAAATACAGCTAAATGTTGTTTCTAGAGCAGCAACATGAATGTTTACAACAGCAAAGTAGCTCAATAACGTTATCTGACATCACAAGTAACGTTTAGAAAGAATAACATCAGTCTTTTTTTTTTCTTTTTGAAAAGTGCTCTACAAGTAAAGATTATTATATTATTATTATCAGTCCCTCGTCCTCTCTCGCTGGCTGCAGGTAACATAAACCAGGCAGAAGGAGGCCCGGCTGGTGTGTCTCAGCCAGCAGCTGAGTTTTTAAGACTACAGACCAGTCTGTGCTCCAGACAGACAGCTTTCTATTTAGCTTCTTTTTAACATTTGGCTAATGCCAAGCTAGTGTTAGCTGTGCTTGTATAAAATATACAGGATGAGATACTGAAGACAGAGATGATTAAATTAACCATTTCTACATGTTTAACGTTACCTTACAGACAGGCGTATTGATTGATTGTTTTTAAATTCAATATAGGGTTTGTATTAAATATTCTAAATACAACTTAATGTTGTTTATAGAGCAGCAAAATTAATGTTAACAACAGCAAAGTCAATATAAAGTCAATAACTGACACCACAGTACTGAGTGATGTTTGCAAAGAATGAAGATATGAGTCTGTTACAGTTTTTCGTCCTGTCCTCCTCCTCCTCTCTCTGCAGTTATTTAACTTTACTGCCAGCAGTTAACCTTACCTGGTAGACAGGAGCAGCTGGTTAGTCTCAGCCAGCAGCTGAGTGTACAGCAGTGTGCCACATTTTAAGCTACAGGGCAAACTAAGCTAAACAGTTAAACATTACAGACAGACAGCTTTCAATTTAACTTGTTTTGTTTGTAACATTTAGCTAATTGCCAAGCTAACGTTAGCTCTGCTTTTATAACACACAAAGGATGAGCGACAGGACAGACCAGATTAAAATAACACTTTCTACATGTTTATATAAGTATACTAACATCCTTTTCTTCATGTGGTGACTGTGGTAAACTGGTGTAGTTTAGAGCCCCCTTCACAACACAGTCTCCACTGCGGCCTCTGCTGGCCGCTGTGTGTGTGCAGGAGCCGACACAGAGCGAGTAGTATGGGAGGCATCAATAAAGAGAGTAAATGGGTTAACATTACAGACTGTGTTAAACTCATCATGTGCTGATCACATAATGTATTTATGTGCTTCAGGCTGCTGAGGCAGCAGAACCACAGCCTTTATATTTACTGTAAAAATATCAACACCCCCCGATGCTTCATGTCTTTACTGACCACAGGCACTCGTCATTACAAGACAAGGTTGCATTGATGCACAGAGGATGCGGCTTAAGAAGTCATGGTGAAGCAGATAAAAACCACGGGGTCGCTTACTGAGAAAACTGCTGTATATAAGGGTCATGTATTGTCACCCCAAAGACAACAGGCTGAATTTGCTCCCAGCATGATGCATCAACTGCACAAGTTTCTGCTTTTTTATCTTCTGACATGTCTTGGACTTAACGGTAAGATTACCAGATCTGGTTTAACGTCTCTTATCTATAACTGCTACATTAATTCATCCTTTTTTCCCTCTTTTCTTTTTAGCACATGGTAGTGAAATCATAAATGGTAAAAAGACCCCAAAGATCTTAATGCTGTTTATGGCCTCAGTGCAGAACAACAGGGGTCATGTATGTGGAGGATTCCTCATCAGTGAAGACTTTGTGGTCACTGCTGCGCACTGTGACCGCCAGTGAATTACTTCCCCTCTTTCTGCAATCTTTGTTTTATGTAATTAAAAATCAAATCAAATGAACCTAACATTTAGCAAACAGAGATATCTGCTTTTTGTGGATTCGTTTATTTTATTTGTTTTGTTGGCACAACTCATGGAAAACATCTCAATGATCATTCACTCAGGATTCCTTTAGTATTCTTGGTACCCACAATCTCAGGAAGGTTGACAACAACACAATGAGATACAGTATAAAGAAATGCAAGCATCCATCCTGCACTAAACTTGCATCTGGGAATGACATCATGCTCTTCAAAGTAAGTAGATATTTAATCAGTCTCAGGTGAAATCATGCATTTTTACAGTAAAATGTTGTACTTTCATGTTATTTAGATCAGTTCAAGCCCCCCAAAAACTGTAAAAAAAAAAAAAATACCCACAAAAAACAACAACAACAACAAAGCACTGATCACTATTCATTCCATCTTTAACTATTTTCCAAACATTTTTACCTACGGTCTGATGGGAGATTATAAGTATGCTATAAATTGGTCCTTGCTGGTTTTTCATTTTCTCTCTGTGATTTTTATGTCTCCAGCTGTCTAAGAAAGCTCAACTGGGCAAAATAGCTCAACTGACTCAACTTCCAAATACTGACAATAAAATAAAACATAAAGAAAAGTGCCAAGTAGCTGGAAGGGGTTCCACAAAAACTGGTGGTAAAGCTGTTGATGTACTGCAAGTGGTGAACGTGCCTTTTGTCAACCTGGAGGTCTGTAAGAAAGAATGGGCCGATATTGGCTTGAATCTTCCTGCCAATGTTATTTGTGCAGGTGGATATGACACAAAGAATGGATTCTGTCAGGTATGTTTCAACTATTTTCTAATTTCATTGCTTTATAGCCTTAGAAATTGAATAAACAAATGTAGCCCCTTCCTCCTCCTCACAGGGTGATTTGGGTGGTCCTCTGGTGTGCAGTGCCCAATGTCTATACAGATGTGTTAAAATACCTTCCCTGGATCAACAAGATTCGGAAGCAAAAGGATTGTTAAAGCATCAGGTCTGCTTAACCTCACTTTTACAGAATGGCCTTTCTTAACAATTGGCATCTTTGTTTCTCATTTCTTTGGAAATGACTCTGTGTTAAAATGTCATTATATTAAGGAGGTATTGTGTTTAAGTTGCTCTGTCAGTGTTTTTTTCTGAAATGCAAAATAAATCTTTTTGAAATGTCTAATACTTCATTTTTCTGTGGTTAAGTATAAGTAATGTATAATATGTATATGTGTCAGGATTGGCTGAGTGCAGATGCAGAACGGAGGTGTGGACCCAAATGCAGACACAGACAACAGGATGCAGTTATTTGTGATTTAATCAAAAATAACTGGAACACGCTTATATGGAGCACAGCAGGCAAGAGTCCAAACAAAGGTAAATCCAACAGAGCAGAAATAATCCAATTCACAGAAACAGGACACAGATACTAAGGACTTACCAGGGCCAACAAGCAGGGAGGGAGTGCACAGGTGAAAGACACGAGGGACTAATCACAAATATGAAATAAACATATCTTTCTTTCTTCATAGAGTCCTCTTTTGGTTTGTGCTGTAGGTATATTGGTTTATGTACAGATGTTTATGATTGCATAAAGCCAGCCCATAAGCATTTCATGACACTTGATGCTAACAATGCTAAACTACCGGCTGTGAACTTACAATGAAAGGAATTTAACTAGAGCATCAGTTTCATAACTGTGCTGTGAGAACATTGTAGATAAAACCTGACTCTGAAAAACTGTGGTTTCGGTGGTTCATCTAGTTTGTCACATAATACAAACAAATGCTTCAGTGGGCTGTTCAGATCCACACCAAAGACTGGTTTTGCATTACTTTTCGTCTGTCACTTATAAAACCCAACAAACTAAAGTTCACTTGACGTGGCTGAGTATCCACATGCAGGGAGAGCAGCTTGTCCAAAACAGTGTCAGAAATCTGAGAGACAGACAAAATGGCCACTCTCAGTCTCTGTAGGTGCCAGTTTTGAACTTTCACTTTTTGATTTTGTGTGTCTCTGCATGCTCGAACTGGGCAAGAAAGTACAGCTCACTTCAGCTCCCAAAAAGTGAGTTTAAAAGTATGAAACATGCAAAATTAAAATATAATGTTGAAGGGTGAAAGGAGCCTTGCAACAGGAACCTGTCAGTTTCATAATGGTCATGGATATGTTTCACTCTGATGCACCACAAGATCTGCAAGCATTAGCTGATGGGGCTGCAGGCAAACAGAGCATCAACTAGCCACCATCAGCCTGTGGAGATGAAGAGATAAAAACATATGCTGCTGACTCTGAGGATGGAAACAATAGACATAAACAGTATCTGAAACACATCAGTATTGTTAAATAAAACACTGCAACAATTAAACCTGGATGTAATGTAGCAGTGCAGCCTACAGAAAATTTCATCTGTCAGTTATTTATTCAAAACAATACACACTTTATAGAGGTATTAATAGTGATCACAGTAACAGTTATCTCTATTAGGCACAGTGGTGCTTTGAGCTAAATGCCAGCTTGCTAAAACACCCAAAATGACAATGCTAACATGCTGATGGTTAACAGATGTGATGTTTATTGTATAGTACAGCTGAGCATGATGGGAATGTCATTAGTTTAGCTTGTGTGTGGTCAGAAAAGTATTGGACAAAGTCAAATTTTCATCAGATGAAAAGATTTAAGGCATCACCAAAGTTATTTTCATCCTTAGTAAGACATGAATGTGGGTAGTAAATTTCATGGCAATCCATCGCATATCAGTGAAGACACTCAAAACCAGAACAGAAAATTCAACATCATAGTGGTGCCAGAGGAAAAATCGGGGATCACCAAAGTCATCAGGATTCATTCTTTTGGGGCCACAGATGTCTGAACAAAATTTCATGGCAGTCCATAGTTGTTGAAATATTTCAGTCTGGACCAAAGTGGCGGAAGTGACTGACATTTACTTGAGGCAGGCCACTATTGTGGGTAAAAAAACAAATTCTGAAAATGTCCTAAATACCAAATGTGAAATACTAATGAAATCTCACCTTATCCTATCATGGACACAGCTACACATCTGTCTTCACTCGACGGTTGCACGGCTCGCAAACAGCTCTTCATTTAGTATCACTTATGCAGGTCACTGCCTAAGTAACTTTGTTAACTTTCATTTGCCAGCTCTATCTTCCAGTTAATTGAGGTTCTTCTTAAAGAAAATAAAAAATGTTGCGTAGCTAGCTGGGGTTGAGAAATTGCTTTTAAGATGTGCACAAGTGACTAGATGATGTGAACCAACGAAGGTTAAAATGAAGGGCAACTGGACTTGGTTGAAGCTACTGGAAGACATTTCGTCCCTTATCCAAAGGACTTCTTCAGTTCTGACTGACTGGCAGGGAAACTCAGCTATTTAACCTCAGTGGGGTCGTTATCTCGGGTCATCGATACCGCTGGTTCGTTAGTGTTCCTTGTTGCTGTGACGACGTCGTTACAGTCGTTAAGACTACCTGTGGCCAAGACTGAACGACCATCGTTGGTATCTTCACCTGAGGCCAATAGGTTACGTTTGTTGAGTTTCCTGGGAAGTGATGAAAGGACAGCATTGTAAGTGGGGGATAAGTGGTGGCGTAGACCCCCTCCCCTGTTCAATGACGGCTTCTCAACCCTGGTGTAGATGGCTTCCTTGACACCTCTTTCAAACCATCCATCTTCTCTGTCTAAAATGTGCACCTGGTGGTCCTCAAACGAGTGTCCTCTGTCCTTCAGATGTAAGTAGACTGCAGAGTCTTGACCTGAGGAGTTGGCCCTTCTGTGTTGAGCCATGCGTTTGTGTAGTGGTTGTTTAGTCTCCCCAATATACAGGTCTGTGCATTCCTCACTGCATTGGACCGCATACACTAGATTGCTTTTCTTGTGTTTGGGTGTGCGGTCTTTGGGGTGGACCAGCATCTGTCTTAGTGTGTTCTTGGGTTTAAAAAACACAGGGATGTTATGTTTGTTAAAAATGAGTTTCTCTGATACTCCAGACACGTATGGAATCACAATGTTGTTGCGTTTGACCTTCTTTTCCTCCTCCCCTGTAGTTTTGTTCTTCTTGGATCTTGTGGCTGTTTTCACAAAAGCCCATTTAGGGTATCCACAGGCTGTAAGTGCCCCCTTCAGGTGGTTCTGTTCCTTCTCTCTGGCTTGGGCGCTTGTTGGTATGTTTTCCGCTCTGTGGTGCAGTGTTCTCATGACCCCTAGCTTGTGCTCCAGTGGGTGGTGTGAATCGAAGAGCAGGTATTGGTCTGTGTGTGGGTTTTCTGTAAACACCAATCTGCAGGCTCCTGTCCTCTTCAATGTGTACAGCGCAGTCCAGGAAGGCCAAACTGTTGTTGTGAACATCTTCTCGTGTGAACCTGATGTTACTGTCCACAGAGTTGATGTGTTCTGTGAAGGCTTGCACTTCCTGGCTTTTGATTTTGACCCAGGTGTCGTCCACATATCTGTACCAGTGGCTCGGTGCTATTCCTCTGAAGGAGTTGAGGGCTTTATTCTCCACTTCTTCCATGTAGATGTTGGCCACAATCGGGGATACCGGTGAGCCCATGGCACAGCCATGCTTCTGTCTGTAGAATCCACCGTTGTACTGGAAGTAGGTGGTGTTTAGACAGAGGTCGAGTAATTTGCAGATTTGGTCAGGGCTGAGGCTAGTTCTGTTGTCCAGGGTGTTGTCTTGTGTTAGCCATTTCCTAACAGTTTCTACTGCCTCTATGGTGGGGATGCAGGTGAACAAAGAAGTCACGTCATAGGATACCATGGTTTCATCTGGATCCAGTTTTAGTCCTCGAACTTTGTTTACAAAGTCAATAGAGTTTTGGATGTGGTGAGGCGTGTTTCCCACCAATGGAGCTAAGATGGTGGAAATGTGTTTGGCAATGTTGTAGGTGACCGAGTTAATGCTGCTGATAATCGGCCTGAGTTTGAAAGAGGTGTCAAGGAAGCCATCTACACCAGGGTTGTCTACGCCACCACTTATCCCCCACTTACAATGCTGTCCTTTCATCACTTCCCAGGAAACTCAACAAACATAACCTATTGGCCTCAGGTGAAGATACCAACGATGGTCGTTCAGTCTTGGCCACAGGTAGTCTCAACGACTGTAACGACTGTCGTCACAGCAACAAGGAACACTAACGAACCAGCGGTATCGATGACCCGAGATAACGACCCCACTGAGGTTAAATAGCTGAGTTTCCCTGCCAGTCAGTCAGAACTGAAGAAGTCCTTTGGATAAGGGACGAAATGTCTTCCAGTAGCTTCAACCAAGTCCAGTTGCCCTTCATTTTAACCTTCGTTGGATAACTATGACCTGGATGACTGAGAATCTTCATAGACATAGATGATGTGAAGGTTGAACAAGTAGTTTTGAGAATTTCAATTCTGATCTGAGACATGTACCAAAAAGACTGACAAAAACTGTAAATATGAAGCAAAAAATTATGTTAATGTGTTCTTTAGAGATGTTAAACATCGAATGTGGTCAAATTAACCCCAAAGATAATCATGTAGATTCATCATGTACAGGCTGCACCAGATCACATAAACAGACAAGATGAAGCAAAGATAACAGACAAGATGCAAACTTGCAAACATGCAATGCAAAAAGGGATGTGGTTAGAATTCAAGATAAAATAGACGATAATCACACTTTCAAAGAAAGCAAACTGCTGTATAAAAGGGTCCACTTGACACCCTCAAGAAGAAAAGTCAGTTAAGTTGCTGGCATCATGCATGGTCTGGACAAACTTCTGCTCTTTCATGTTCTGACATGTCTTGGACAAAACGGTAAGTTTACCGAATCTTTTTATTATCTTCCATCTATGTAATTGGACATTAACTGAATATAGATTTTTACGTATCTTTGCAGCACTTGGGGGTAAAATCATACATGGGGAAAAAGCCCCAGAGAACTCGATGTTGTATATGGCCTCTCTGCAGAACATTGATCATAGTCATGTATGTGGGGGATTCCTCATCAGTGAAGACTTTGTAGTCTCTGCTGCACACTGTGACAATAGGTGAGTTACTTTTTAATGTAAATAGTAGTAATAGTTGTTGCCTTGTTTTGTTGTTGGTATAACTTGAGGAAATCCACTTACAACTTCAAAAATAACTTTTTCAGGCATCTCTCACGTGTTGTTCTTGGCTCCCACAATCTCATTAAGGCTGAAAAAACAGTGAGAACTATTGAAAAGAAGTGCAAACACGAATCTTATGTGAATGTTGCAAAAGGGAATGACATCATGCTCCTCAAAGTAAGTAGCCTATATATATTTAACTCAGCAGTCCCAGATGATATCTTACATTAAAATTATTTGTATTAAGCTATGATTTTTTTAAAAACTCTTCTGTTGAGGGTAAATGTAAAAAGTGGGAGTAAAACGTCTACATTCACTATCCAACGATTCAGGGCAGCCACCAATACATATACTGTAATAATGCTAACAGTAACCTTCATTTTCTTGACTCATCAGCTTCAACTTGTAACAATTGTTTAACTGAAGTTTGATGAAGAGTACAGACAGTTTTTAATTGATGCTTTCTGATTTTGTGTATCTCCAGCTGTCTAGTGCAGTTCAAGTGAACAGAAGAGTACAGCTTATCCAACTTCCCAGAACTGAAATTAGCGTAAAAGATGGAGAAAAGTGCCGTGTGGCTGGATGGGGTATGACTGAAACTGGTGGTGCAATTGTCGATGACCTGAGAGTGGTGGATGTGTCTGTCATCAATCTGGAAGTCTGTAAGATGAAATGGCAGAATCTTCCTGCCAACGTTATGTGTGCAGGTGGATATGGCACAAAGAAAGGATTCTGTCAGGTATGTTCTCCTTTAATAGAAAGTCTCAACTGGTTTCTAGTATTTACAACGTTTGCACATTTTACATCATCTTGAACAAAAATATTAAGATATTTCCTCTTCACAGGGCGATTCTGGTGGTCCCCTGGTGTGCAACGGGACAGCAGTTGGTATCGTGTCTTTCAATAAAAATTCCAACTGCAAATATCCAGACGTACCCAACGTCTACACAGACATATCAAAATACCTGCCCTGGATCAACAAGATTCTCAAGGAAAAGAACTGTTAAATGTAACAATTTTACATAGAGATTTGCTTCAGCATACTTTGATCGAGAGGGGGAGTTTGAGTTGATCTGTCAGTGTTCAGCTCTTCAAGTCAAAGGCAAAATAAAAACCTTTCAGTCATTGTTTCCTCTTTCCTTTTTTCAAAGACACAAATGGTGTTTACATCACTTTAAAAAACATGCAAAGCTCTTTATTCCACAACATATCAAACAAATGTTTTAGAGTAGGCTGTGCAGTAGTGTCTGCGTTGTTCTACAATTACACTGCCAAAACGATAGTCGGCAGTAGCGTTATCCACTGTGTTGACTTTTGTTGGCCAAGAGAACTAACTTACAATTAGCCCTCCACTAACTTGAATAGGGTTAAAATCGTGCAACTCTTGTAGACTTTTCAAACTTTAGCAATCGAATGTATCACATTCTGATAATGTAACGAGTCATTTTACATGGGTTGTGACGCTCAAAAATACGCAGAAGTATAAATCACGCTTTGGCCTCCTCAAGGCGTCAAAATGGAACATTCGCTAATGAAATACCAATATGTGTATACAATGTGAAGCAGCTATGGGTGTAACACAATAAAATCAGGAATAAGCTGTGTCCATAGTGTGGGTCTGAATACTTTAAAACAAAGTATAAAAGAAATAAACATTTTCATCTGAATTGGTGCACTGTATGCTTATTCAATAATTAATTAGAATCAGTTAAGAATGAAACAGTCCTGTCTATAAACCTCCTGCACTGTAATAAAGAACATCTTGCAATGTGTTCATTCAGGCTAAAGAAAAGTTGTAAATGGTTTTATTATTTATGAAAATCAACATAATTTATTTATTTGGTCCAGAGGGCCCTTCAGCAAAAAAAGGAGCAAACGGTCCGGGTCAAGCAACTTTAACCACTGTGTAGCCTACGTGAGTGGCCTACAGTCTGCACAGTCCATGATATTAATTTCAAAGAGACTTCACTTGAAGACATGTGGATGTCTGGTGTCTGTGTGGACATCAACGCTCAAACCCAAGATTGGAAACTGTGGTGTCTGGGGGGTCACACAGTTCAAAGGCATGTTTGAGTGGGCTTGTGTCACATAGACCCACACTCATGGCATTACGTCTGTGTTCAGAATCAGAAATACTTTATTGATCCCCGAGGGAAAATTCTGTGTCACAGTTGCACACATTGCACCTCAAGGCAAAGAAATATAAATAAAATAGAAAGTTGGTATATTGAGAAGTATGTAAATATAAATACAAAGAAAATATAAGGATTCTGGATAGTACATTATTTACATAATAAAGAATTGTTATGGTAGAGAATATTGCACATTAAGTGTTTAAACAGATATTATTGCACAAAACAGATAATAATGTCCAGTTTAATAACTAAGTGTCCTTGTGTCAGACAGTGGGAGGAGTTATAGAATTTGATGGCCACAGGCAGGAATGACTTCCTGTGGCGTTCTGTGGTGCATTTTGGCAAATAATGTTCGATCGTATATGTATTATTTTAATTTAAATACATGCAAATATACTTTTTGTTGCCTTTTAGTTTATGGTTTACCATTTAGGCTACAGTGTATGCTTCCATGGAAGCTGCCATTGTTTTGTGACGTCATTCAGCTGTTACTCGTGAAGTCGGGGTACATACAGTATGAATAGGAAATCCGACTTCAAGTGGCGTTCCAGGATAATAATATTGCTACATTTTCTTTGAAATCGCGTAATATGACCCCCCCCCACCGTTACTCAGCCTGTCGCAAAGTAGCGAGAGAATAACATGATACACCTGACCGCGACACAGACTTCTGCTTTCTCTGTCCTACTCGCTCTGAGACACTTTGCAATGTTTGACTGTCTCTCTGCTCCAGGACTGCACTTTATCAGATGTGCTGTTACCATAACTATTAACATATGAATGGATTTGTGTTGATATGCCCGATCACAAGTGTTTTCAGTTTCGGTTTTTACCTCTGATGAAGAGCAGTCTCATCCAGTACAGTCCCAGAGGAGCTCTGTGTCTGTCAGACTGTCTAAAGGGGGAAACTTACTACCATATCAACAGAGCAATAATGTAGGGTAATGCACAGCAGAGGGCAGCTGGATTTAGTTAAAATATTTTGACTTAATTCTCATCAGATAATGATTTTATTTGTCTTAATATTAGAAGTTTTGTCTCAAAATATTATTCTGCAAATGTCAGAGAACACAGGTATGTGGTAGAGATTCTGAATGTGCAGAAAGTTTTGAGAATGAGCAGAAAACCGGCTGAAACACAGAAGCTATAAAAATCCAGGAGTTTCTAAGTGAATTACAATTAATAAAGCTAATTTATCATTGAGGTGAAAAGGAGCCACATGCACATTTAAAAAGACTTCAGGCATGCCTGCATGTATGTAGACTCAGGAGGGATTAAATTAAATGAGAAAAGTTGATCTACAGGAGGAACATATCTGACAGCGATACAGAATGCCTGAGAGCCTTACTGCATTATATTAAACTATATATATATATATATATATATATATATAGTTTCTTTTAATATATAAATAAAGACATTTCCTCAATAAATTGAAAAACAGATAAACAGAAAAAATCACCAGAATGCAGGAAATTAAGTGTTTAAAGCCCAAATTGGTTTGGGCTTCAAACAGGTGAAAACATGAAAGATTTCTGGGCCGGGCTAAGCTCCCAATTTTTCAAGAGCCTGGAAATACCCCTGGACACCACTGACAGAGAGTCCAGCTCCACCCCCCACAACATCACTGGCCTTGCGGATCAGTTTGTTGAGTCTGTTAGCGTCCGCTACCCTCAACCTGCTGTCCCAGCTTGCAACAGCAAACGGTAGATGGTTCTGCTCACACCATGTGACAAAGTCACCCACCACAGCTCTGTACTCAGCCTCATGACCCTTGTTGGTACATCCATCCACAGCAGAGTCATCAGAAAACTTCTGAAGATGGCAGGACTCTGTGTGGTAGTTGAAGTCTGTGGTGTAGATAGTAAAGAGGAAGGGAGAGAGGACAGTCCCCTTTGGGGCTCCAGTGTTGCTGACCACACTGTCTGGCACACAGTGTTGCAGGCTACTGTGGTCTGCCAGTTGACAATCTAGTAAACCTGCTTCGTTGTCTGCTTCTCACCCAGCAGGGCTGGTCAGATGGTGTTAAAAACACTGGTCAAAAAACATGACCCTCACAGTGTTCGCCGGCTTGTCCAGGTGGGCGTAGATGCAGTAGAGAAGGAAGATGATGGCATCCTCAACTTCCAGTCGGGGCAGGTAGACGAACTGGAATGGGTCCAGGAGAGGTGTCACCATGGGCCACAGCTGTTCCAGAACCAGTTTCTCCAGGGTCTTAATAATGTGGGAGGTCAGTGCCACGGGTCTGTAGTCCTTGGAGTCACTGTGACGTGGCGTCTTTGGTACAGGCATGAGACAAGACGTCTTCCACAGCACAGGGACCCTTTGGAGACTCAGGCTCAGGTTGAAGACATGGTGAAAGGACAAAATACAGAAATTAAAAGTCAAAGCTGACAAAGACACCACTATGCAAAGGATAGTTAACTATCTAGAATGTGTTACTATATTCCTATATGCATGAAACATAAAAGATGACAAGCATTTCACTGCGGTTTAATGCGTATTACAAACAATGAGAGAAAGAGGCCCAAAATGGTTTAACAGTGAATATATCAAGATTTCTTTCCTGCATCAAAGAGATCTAGCAATCCTAGACGTTTGGCTTTAACATGCTTTTATTGTGTTGTGGAGATATTTGTATGTCTATGTCTAAGTAGCTCTTTCTGTGTAAACGGAAATCCTTATATAAAATACTGTATTTTATTTGTTCCCTGTGGGATATTAAATGGTATTTAAGTTAAATTTTAAAAAATTCAATTGTTCTTTTACCAATGTTCAGATGAGCTCAACACAAACCCAACACTTTTACTAAAAGGCTGTTCTGTCCTGCAAAGTGTTCTGTAGTCGATGTACTTCACAATCTGTCTATCTATCTTAGAGAGGCAACAACCACTGCAAGATTTAGAAATCCCAAAGCTGAGAAACAAAACCACATTCTTTCTTAAAAAATTATTTTTAACGTGGGTGCTGTAACCCGCTGAAAAGAGGAAAATGAAACAGCTGTCAACTCTTTGCAAGATTTTGATCTAAGCACTGAAATCGAGACAAAATCCCACAACGTTGTAAGAAATAGCACAAACACATTGCACACACATACTGCACATTACTTCTCTTTGCCACTTGTTAATAACTTGGATACATTTGTTTTTCAGACATGGTGGAGTTTAACTAGTATTTATCCACGAGACCCACAAGTGTATAACTTCTGGTTCACACGATTTTTGGGTGACGCATGTGGGAAGTTGAACCTTCAGAGTGTTGTGTGCCTCAGTATCTCTAAGGCATTATAGCTTTAACTGGTTTTTGCATCAATTATGAAACCCTGTTGTGAAAATCGAAAACCACACTTTTTGCAATGCCACCAACAGCTTCACAGAAAAGACCCAACAGCATGTTAGCAAACACACTGGAGCAATAAAGACCACAAAATAAGCAAGAAGTTCTCTTCTACAAAAATTATAAGACCAAGAATAGAAGGTGTGGATTTAACCAGAGACCATGGCAATCAGCTTCATACTACTGCTGCTCTTTGTCCTGAATGGTAAGCTATCTATACAAAGTAAAGACATTAACATTTACATTTACCGCAAACCTGAAAGAACTGGATAAACATAAGCAAATAATGAATGATGATTTTGTGTTCCAGCAGCTGATGGTACTCATATTGTTGGTGGCAGAGATGCTGCCCCACACTCGCGCCCCTACATGGCCTCGTTGCAAGTGCGAGGTGACCTGAACTGTGGGGGAGTCCTGTTGAGAGAGGACTTTGTGCTCACAGCAGCACATTGTGAGATATCAATGTAAGAATTAAAAAATAGATCAAGTTTTGCAGCAAAAATCTAACTACTTCAACATCTGTAACAGATACCTCAGGGTTTGAAGTAATGTTAAAGCTGATTTTAACATGCTGACCATTTCTTACATTAGCCTATACAATAATCCCTTGCTACATTTTTTTCTATTACATTGCAGCCACTTGATTTCATGTCAGTCAGTATGAAAATCAACTTGTAGGGACTTCTTAGTTTGTAAGACGTAAGTAATCCCTCACAGTAAACATTAAATATGTTTTATTTAGCTATCAAACTGAATTTTAGTTGCAAGCACAGTGCTCTCTTTGACAAAAAAATGAAGACAGTTAAATGTTCATTGTGGTGTTACTGCATGTTTAAAATCTCTGTAAGGGGATTGTTTCACTGTACTGAAATGAATGGAAAGCGCTGATTTGAAGACAGGATATTGATCTAAAAACGTATAGTCCAGTCATCATTCAATTGTGATTTCTAGACCATACACAGTTGTACTTGGAGCTGATTCCCTGTCCGGTAATGAGCCTACAAAGCAGGTGTTCAGTGTTGCCAGATCCATTCCACATCCCAACTACGATGGACATGCAAATGATATCATGCTCCTAAAGGTGAAGACAGTTTAAAACTGTTTACTACACAGTATCAGATTTTAATTAGAGGAATCCCACATGATGTCAAAATGTCAACATTTTTCATACTTTTCTAACATCAATCTCTGTCTCAGCTCGACCGCAGTGCCCAGCTGACTGATGCAGTGCAGCTGATCCCTCTAGCAAAGGGCAGGCTGCGAATATCCAGCCAGTGCATCACAGCTGGCTGGGGGGATATAGGGGATAACAACACCATAGCAAACAGGCTTCAGGAAGTCAACGTAACCACCCTGCCACAGAGGACATGCCGTATGAAATGGAGAACTGTTCCCATCACCAGGTCAATGGTTTGTGGCACTGGGGGCCGTAACCTTCAAGGCTTCTGCTCGGTGAGAAAATACACTGGCTGGACATTGATCAGACACCCAAACTGACCTTTGAAGGAGTTGTCTTTGTGAAATCGTAGAGACATCATCTTTTCAATTTTCAAATGATGCATCACAGGTATTTTATACATGAGATAACCATACTGTTAAAACTGTTAAGATTGAAGGAATTCACACAGGATATTTTAAACACAGTTCACCTTCTGGTAAGTCTCTGTTAAGAGTCTCGTATCGTTCCTTTTTCAGGGGGATTCAGGTGGTCCATTGGTGTGTGATGGTGCTGTAGCAGGCGTCGTGTCCTTCTCTGGTCCGAAATGCGGAGAGACCAAGACCCCCGATGTCTACACGCGCGTATCGTGCTTCAGGGAATGGATTACAGGAGTGTTAAACAACAATTAGGCAAATTAGATTGAATGGTAATTTGTCAATATTGGGATGTACTTTTCAGATCAAGGCTCTATACAAACATATCGTGTCATGTTGTTTAATATTTGCTTAACAATGCAGCGCTGTGGATGATGAGATGAGGTATAATAATTTAGGTTTGTGTCACCTGTCACATTATGGTTTTGTTATACAGCATGCATTCAAAAAGGCTCAGGCAAAACTCTTTTTAATCCAAACTTTCAAAAGTATACTGAGCTGAATAAAGTGGAAATGAAAAGCAAAGTAAATTCCAGTGCACTGATTTTTGGTATTGAAAAATATGCATCAAAAAGTGAAACTACCATAAAACCATGGATTAGGTAGTGATTACAGCTTTAGAAATAAAAATGTTTCCTTTATGGGTCAACATTTTGTTCATGTTTGCATATTTTGTTGGTAGGTAGCTTCATTCCTGGAGCATAAACGGGGCCTGGCAGTAATTGTTTCATTTAATAAACAATAAAGATGGCTGGACAGCTGAGCAGACGGGACATTCAGATGAACTACAAGTCAAGACTAAGTGGATGCAGTCTGTTTAGTTGGCTGGGTGATATCTTGTGCATTTATAGTGTAACTTGCAGACTGCACCAGTTTTGTGCAACTTGTAATATGTATCTCAAGATAATGATAATATAGGTTTAGGTGACATTGGTGTGATATTTCGCTATTGAAGTTGTGTAGAGAGGGGGGCACAACACTGTTTTCAGTGAGCTGACAAAGTATAAATTAATAAATACGTTTTTATATACAGTCTATGGTATAAATGTCTTGCTGTAAAACATCAGCAAAGCAAAGCTAGGAGGGTGAATGTGACTAACTTAGCTGTCCCACATACTTGTAGATGTATGACCCCATGGTAGGTACTGCTATGCATACAAGTAGATATTTCAAGCTCATTTTACAATTGGTTCACCACCTATGCTGCCTTGGAGTGCTCCTACTTGCAACTGTGCATGCAGGTTTGACTCATGAATATGTGCATCCTAATGGTTTATGCTGAAATTCACAGAGATGAACAGGCGTGGGTTTAATTTTATTTCAGATATCACATGTAATTTCTTCTGCAGCAGTGACGTAACGTTAGCTCTAAAATAATTATCAAGGCAATTTTAGAGTTACAATTGAGGAGAAATGGAAACTTCACCAGTGAAGAAGTACTGAGTTTGAATTTATTACAGGACCAATTAGACAATATCTTAAAATAAAAACAAGAGGCGCCTTCATTAGATCAAGACGTAAATGGATCGCACAAAGTGAGAAGAACACAAAATACTTTTTTGGATTAGAAAGAAGAAATGCTGAATTTACTACAATAAATAAGTTGATAATTAATGGAGTAGAAACCAAAGAGCCTCAAAGGATTTCTCAACATGTAGCTCTGTTTTATCAGAAACTGTACTCTTCAATCCCACCAACATTTGACATTAACTCTTTCTTACATAAAATCTCATTGAATGCAACTGAACAGATGACTTTAAAAACTCTTGCGATGAGGAGATATCTTTACCTGAAATTGTTGAATGTATTAAAAGTTTAAAAGACAACAAATCTCCCGGTAATGATGGTCTAACAGGAGAATTTTATAAAGCATTTTCATCAAAACTTGGCCCTTTCTTACTCGCTGTATTCCAAGAATCTCTCCAGAAAGGTGAGCTTCCTGCTACATTACAACAAGGATTAATCACATTAATTCCAAAACAAAAATAGATAGATTGCACATAGAAAATTGGAGACCTATAAGTCTCTTAAATAATGACTGTAAATTATTTGCTTTAATCTTTGCCAATAGATTAAAACCAGGATTAAATCAAATAATTGACGAAGAGCAATCTGGATTTATGCAAAATAGGCACATTAGCAATAACATTCGTTTAATACTGGACATGATAGATTATAAGGACCTAATATTGGATGAAAGTTTTATTTTTTTTATTGACTTCTACAAGGCTTTTGATACCGTTGAACATGATTTTCTTCTTAAAGCCATCTCTTTTTTTGGTTTCGGAAAATATTTCCTCAATGCTATTCAGACATTGTATAATGGTTGTTCAAGCTCTGTAAAACTAATGCATGGTACATCAGAAAGATTTAATATTTACCGTGGTATTAGACAAGGTTGTCCAATATCTCCCTTTTTGTTCCTGTTGGTCACCCAAATGATGTCTACTCATGTCAAAAAGTCAGATTTCTTAGGTATAAGGGCGGTAGAAAAAGATTTAAAAATCTGTCAATTAGCGGATGATAATGCAATTTTTTTTTTTAAAACCACAACCAAGTCACTAAAGCAGTGTTCTGTATTAATGAGTTTACCAAAGTCTCGGGTTTAAAAATGAATCTAGATAAATCTGTTTTGTTTCCAATTAAAACTGCAATCTGTCGGATTGTTATGGAATCCCAGGTAAAGAAAAGGTAACCTACTTGGAAATTAATATCTGTAAAAGTGCAGAGCAACGATATAAAACCAATTTTAACCCCATTATTGAAAAAAACAAATTAAAACTGAACTCATGGTTAATGAGAGATATTTCAATATACGGTAGGATCCTTTTATCCAAAGCAGAGGGGATATCTAGGTCTGTTTATGTGGCTTTATCACTTAGCGTCCCAGCCACTGTTATTAAGGAGCTAGATAAAATACTTAACGATTATATCTGGAGAAAAAAGCCCCATTATACCATTATAAAAAAAAGCCCCATTATATAGAATAATACCTTTAAAGTAAAATGGATTATAGAATTTCTGAAGAATCCCAACAGTATCTGGAATGCTTTTCCTGCATACTTGTTTAAATCTACTGGTGGCATAGATTTCCTTTTATTAGGAGTGTAACTTTTCTGTTGACAAAATACCGTTTAGATTAGCTAACTTCCACAAGCAGGCCCTTTTAGCCTGGACACTAGTATACAATCATAATTTTAGTCCTCATAGATGCTTTATTTGGAACTTAACATTGATTATAACTTTGATTTTTGCAATTTAGAAAGAGGAACTATATTTCATCTTTTTTACCACTGTGAACATACAAATGTATTTTGGAAAGATTTGGAACATTTTATTAACAGAAAAACTGGTAAGTGTATTCTGATTAATGTATTTGATGTCATGTTATATTTTGTACTACATGGTCCAGACAATATTAACTATATTGTGCAACTCCTCATCATACTTGGAAAATTCCATATCCACAAGTCAAAATGGACTGAATCCAAACCTTGCTTCAATCGATTTACAGTTGAACTGAAACACTACTGCACCTCAATAGAACTCTTAAAAAATAAGAAAGCAATAAAATGTGTTAATATTATAGAAGAACTGAACTTAATTTGAGCTTCTGGCAATATAAAATGTAACTGAAGGTCTGTATATTTTGCATTTCTGTTACTGTAAACGCTATATGATGTCAACTTGTCATAGGCACATTTAAATGTTAAAGAAAGATTGAACTTGGATAATACTAACTTACTAATACTAATGTTGTTTTATATCTTTTACGCCTCTCTTATACTGTCTGCCCCTTTAAGTCAAATTCAACGGCAACTTCTGCGTCACAGAAAATCCCCACTTTACCGGTTGTGCTCGGTTGCGTGTGTGCTTTTCGTGTCGATCATGCGCACTAACACCTTAATTACGCTATTTCCGACAACACTCGAACGCAGCATGCAGTACTGTCTACAACACCTGTTTAACTCTGGTCGTTAAAAGTCCAGCTACCATTGTCATTAAGACATCAATTCCCACTATTCATTGCGCGCGTGTTCATGTCCTTCTCTGCGGTCATGGTAAACGCAAGCTCTCTGGGAGCTTGAGTCTGTTCGCCGTATCTCCCATTTTCCACAGGTTTCGCGAGATTTACATAGGCGGGTTGGTGTGTGGCAACATTTCTCTGCCAGACGAGGTGAACAATACTGAAATGAAATCTGCGTGAAGGTAATGGGGATATGTTCCGGAGGGAGAATAAGGCTATTAACGTCCGGTTGTTGCTGTCGTTTGTTACCTGCCGTCAGGGACACCGAGGAGCGGATGTAACGTTAGCTAGCCGCCTCCACTTATCTGACAGTAACATCTGCATTGAGGTAGAGCTAGGACAGCCGAGTGTAATGAAAACCTAACGTTACACTGTGAGGTGTAGTTGTGTTGGACAGGCATCACAGCATGACGTATCGTGTAGTTTATCGGGCTCGCTCATGTATGTAGCTAATGTAAGTTAAGTTATTTGGACCAACATGTAACCCGCAAAACGTTTCATACTGTAACAATTCGTCAGAGACAGTGAAATGGCTGGCACGATAGTCTTTTGAAGATGTGTTTTTAAACCGTAATGAGGCGAGAATTGTGCTACCAGCTGAGTAATCATGACAAGCTACATAGTCTAACCCTGAGTAGAAAACAGTGACCTCCATAGCTGTGTAGTTAAAGTGAAATACCCAGGAAGTTATTCCATCATGCTAATCTATTGGCTGCTGGAGTTGTCAGTCTCTGCTGAGCAGGCTGTCACATCTCTTCAAACAGGCCCGCCTCAGCTGAAGTGAAGGCCTTCCTCATGCTGTAGTGTACAGTACATGTGAAGTTTGGCAGCTGTCACGTTCACTCACATAATAACTGAACATTGCCCTGTCTTTCTCTTAATCAGTAGCCTTTGAATTTCTGGAGGCATGTCCAAGAAAAGGGGCAGGTATGTAGAAACAAAGCATCATGTATGTGCCATCACATGATGCCATTAATGGTGTTTTTATAATATAATGTATCGGTAAAACTGTAAAGTCACAAACACCAGGTATAATCTTCTGGAATTAACCAATAGCTAATATTTGACTTAGGTCTGGAATGAATGACAAAATTAATATTGCATTAAATAAACAGCTGCTTCTGAATAAGAAACATAGGTTATTTGAAGCAGCCTCAGTTTAATCTACAGTAACTTTTCAGAAATGTCTCAAATGCAAGTATTGTTATGTGATCAAAGACTAGACAGTTGCATGTCAAGTTACACAGTCTGATGTATTTGTGTAAGGTGCGGACTTTCATTCTGTTTTACCAGAAAGCGGAGTAGCGGGGAGCTGAGTGACACCTTGACCCCAGACCCAAACAGCATTCTGGGAGTCCGCATTCAGCATAACTGGCGCGAGAAGGGCAACCAGAGCAAGTGGAAGGGAACAGTACTGGACAGGCTTAGCGTGAACCCCTCTCTCTTTATGGTGAAGTATGACGGTTTTGACTGCGTCTACGGCATCGAGCTGTTCAAGGACGACAGAGTGTCGAACCTCCAAGTCCTGTCGGAAAATGTCGGTGAGTTAGTTAGCTTCTCTTTTAACCTGCACCAGCTAGCTTGATCAATTTATGTTTTAGACTCCAATGTGACCCAAGATATTTCATATAATAAAGGTGATGTGTTTATAGATTTCCTTGTGCCTTACATTCATATTGCATATCCTTTGTGGCTGTGTCTCCACAGTAAACAACAAGATCAAGATACCTCCAGGGGCGGAGGAGCTGGTGGGCAAAGCTGTAGAGCATCTCTTTGAAAAGGAGGACGGAGAGAAGAATGAGTGGAGAGGCATGGTCCTCTCCAGAGCGCCAATCATGACCAACTGGTATTATATCACTTATGAAAAGGACCCCGTTCTTTATATGTACCAGCTGTGGGACGACTATGCTGATGGAGACCTCAGGATTCTGCCTGAAGCAGGTACTGGTAATTTGAACATAACAAAGACAGATTGATACTCCTCAAAGCTTTATTAAGTGTTTGATAATCTTGTCCTAAGGCTCTATAGATTAAATGAATAGTGAATAATAGTGAATCATTTTTCCACTGTGGATGGTTTAATTTAATTTGCCATGGATACCATGTGAGCATGGCGGTCATGAAAGTCTGTATTTATCACTCATTGGGTCATATCAGTCTTCATCAGGGGGTTTGACTCCTAGTAACCAACAGGCAAAATTACTTATTTAAAAGTAAGGTCTTTCCGCAGCCATGGACACAGACACTCTTTACATTATGCTGTCAAGAGTGAACGTTTGTTGAAGTAAGTACTTGGAGTTTAAATCAGGAAGCAGGTTTTTCTTGGGGAGATTAGATATTCATGATCATGAAACAATTTTTTTCCACAGTAAAATAATGAGAGCCAAGACTCTAATTAGTTGTTTTGTCAGACAGCTGTTTCTGGAGAAGATCCAGAGGTAACGGGGATATTTGAGAATATTCTTATTATTTGGCACACATAAAAATTGACAGCAAGTATAATTTGGATAGTGAGCTATATCAGAATGCTGAGGCATTATGCAAGATACTACAGCCTTAAAAACAAAAATGTATTTAGTTATTTCAGTCTGTGAAGGCCTTTGTGTCCATGATTAATAACTAAGTCATGATAAAAAAAAATATAAGTATATATTGAGAGGATTCTTATACTTCTGAAGTCTGGAGAATGTTTTTTTTTTTCTTAATTTCTAAGCCTGTAAATTTATTAAAGTAATGGTACAATTGAGAAAATTATGTCACACACTTAGAGGAGAGGAAGCACTTTTCCTTATGTTTGTGATAAAGAGTAATGATTGGTGAACTGAGATGGATCATGTAAAGAATAATGCAGGGTCCTTTTGGTTTAATATTTTTCATGCATGTTTTGCTCAGAAACCAAATCAGACAACATTATTTTATACCCATTTTGGGATACTTTAAGTAGGTGGTTTTTGGTGACTTACGTATGTGCACATTTTCAAACTCACATGGATGTAACTCATATGTAATGCTAATGTTATATATCGTTTCACTCCTCAGAAAACAAGCACCTGTTGCCTGCAGACAGGAAGCCAGGAGAAGAGACGGAGAGTCTGGTGGGGAAACAAGTGGAGTATGTTACTGACAAGGGCGTCAAGAGAACAGGCCTGGTTATCTACCAGGTCCCAGCCAAGCCCTCTGTCTACTACATCAAATATGACGATGACTTTCATATCCATGTCTATGACCTGGTCAAAACCACCTAGAGATAGTGGACACTTGCTCTCACTCTCCAGCCTCCGTCCATCTGCTTCGGTTCCACTCATTGTTCTAATCTTGTTCTTCAAAGCCATGGCAGGGTTGAATAGTTAATATGCTTTACTGTTCAGAAGAAAGTGCAATCTGTATTTTTTTTTTTTTCTATATGCACAGCAGAACTGTAGCACCGCTATGCTTGGCTATTTCGAGGGGAGGGAGTCAGCGTGTTTTATTGTTGCTGCTCTACTTTATACTTTAAGTTTGGACAGTCCAAGATTGCACTGCACAACAGCTGCAAAGTGCAGTTGTTACTGCACTTGCATTGTTATCTCTGAGATACTCACTGATCTGTCCTTAAAGTAATTATCTTAATTAAATCCCTGTATGACCAACTTAGCTTCTCAAAATGTCCTTTTGAAGCCATTTTCATCTAAGTAACTAGTAAGCATGACATACACATTATATTTGGGATTAATGTCTTCCACTGAGGCACTTATCTAATGAAATGGGCCGGTAAATAGATGTACTGTATTTGTCTAACCATATCATCAAATTAAGTTAGTACTGGAAGGGATGAATGGAAGCAGCATTGTCAAATTATCTGAATGGGGCCCTTAGATTTTCTCAAGCCTTTTATTAATTTTCCTACATGAATTGTGCTCATGCGGAAATATACTCCTTTGCACCATGTTTAGTAATGTATCAGATCCTTTGCACTGGTGATGAAGATGCAGTTTGCTAAATTCTCATTTAAATTTGACCCCACACAAATCATAAAGTGCCTTCCGGCTTGCCATTCTGCAATATTGTACATACTTCATCTCCGACTATCTGCGCTCTCAGTGAATCATTGCGTATGAAGGCTGCTATTTGGTTTTCATTCAGAAGTGGTGACACTGACAGCTTAAGGAAAGTTTTGCAACCATCACTTTATGTTACTGCAGTGTTTTGCTCTTAATGCAGTATGAAAATGTTCTTTAAATATAACACACACCATCCTTTGGTTGTATAATCTCACTGTTGATATTGTGGGGAGCACTTTACTGTATAAAGTTTACATGTTTAGGTTATGATACGCTACATAGTTCCCCCCCCAAATGCTTTTTCCTTAAGAGCAAATGTGGCAGAATAAATGCTTTATATCATACGCATGAAGAAAAAACGAAAAGAAAAAAAAAAGTTGTGGCAATACAGATGACAGTATTTAATATGTACAACTTGTGTAAAATGCCTTGTAATGTTGCCTGTTGTGATTATCATTTATACAAATATCTCATCAAAACACCACCAGCTTTTAGTGAAAGGGTCATTCATATACATCAATTATCAACTGAATATTTAACAGGTATAATCAACTGACAAGTTTGTTGATGGTAACTAAATAATTCTGATTCTGGTCTTTATAACTTTGTCTCATGACGTGTATGCATCATACTCTGTCGCTAGTGTGTCCTAGTTGCTGAATTGGTCTTGGCCTTCTCAGCCTTCTTCGAGTCTTTTAGAAAATATAGTTATTTTTTTCTGTCAAAACTCTGCATGCATCATATGAACAGAGTGCCTGGAGATTTTCAAATTTTATTTTGACAGTAGAGAAGTGACAACGCGTGGCTGAATCAGTACTGTTCGTTTACCGACCTAAAAAAATAAAGGCTACCACTGTACATCACTGCCTGTGGTGCTGTGGAGTGTTTCTATGTTGTGTAAAGTGGAGTTACAAATGACTGTGCGCTCTTCTTCACGCTTTAAATCGCCTCCTGTTCTGAAGTTGTAGCAGCGTCAATTGGTGTCATTGTTTCATGAGTAATAAAGATTTTTGCACATTTGTTTGATCTTTTTCATTGATGCATGATCAACATGTGTTCTATTTTTGCCTTAATAAATCAAACTATAGACTGGACGTGTTTTAAGATCGATGTATTATTTAGTCACAAATGGTGAAACTGCATATATACACAACAGACATTATCTTCATAACATTTGGGTAGTTTGAGAACAAAGGGAAAAATACATTTTGCTTCCTAGCATTATGTACAATACAACTCCCAACCAATGCCACTAACATTTACAGTACCCACTTTTCATCTAACACTTTTTCTTTCATGGTGGGTGTTTCTTCTTTCTTGTGACTGGCTACAAGTTTTGAAGAAGTAACGTCATTTCTCAAGTGCAATATTCAAAAAGGCTGATAAATGTCAGGTTGTCCAGAGAGTTTCTGTTTACTTGGTGAGGTCCTTCAGGTACTGCAAACCCTGATTTGTGTATTCATTTGCTTTTGTTGGAGCCTCCGAAAGACTTGAAATTGTCCACCGCACTCCTGCAATAAAATACAAATCAATGGTTTTGGTTAAACACACAAAATATATACAAAACATTTAAGCTGTTAATCAATAGACAAATACTAATCTCAGAGTCATAATAGTGATGCTAAAATTGATTCCTGCCCCAGTGAAACACTAACAGTAGCACAGCATCTAACAGCTGAAGTGCATGACCACAGTTTACAATCTAGGTGCAAAAACAGAAACATGATATTAAAAGAAATGTTGTTTTTCATTCATTTCTTACCGGAGTTCCATGTCTGAACAGGGGAGAATTCAATCTTAGGCAAGGTTGGAAGCTGAGCCTGTAGAGAGAGAGGAACTGTTAGTTTGAGACAGCATAAAACATTACTTTGTTGTTATGAACATTATATTGAATTCACATTAAACCCTGTAACACTTAAAATAAAACAAATAAAATGAGATAATGAGGGAAATGTCAAAGATATAATTTCGACCCTTCACTCGGGACACTACTACTACAAAGGTCCAGTGTGTAATATTTCTGAGGCTCTATTGACAGAAATGCAATATAATATCCATAACTATAACTACAGTGGTGTATAAAGACCTTGCATAATGAACCATTATGTTTTTATTACCTTAGAATGAGACATTTATATCTACATAATAAGGGTGCTCCCATCGATAGGTCACCGATCATGGCTTTAACTAGTTTGATAGGTGGTCGGTAAAAAGGCCGATAAGAAAAGCCGATCAGATGATGCGATACTCGCCAGACAAATTTTCAATGGCAGCTAAAATGTTTCACCTCGCTGTGTGAGCGGTTTTCAAAGCTAGCTAGCACCAAAGTCCTTCTCAGACAAGAAGGGATTAATGCGCCCACATAATCATTTACAAGTAGAGCTGAGCAGCAATCAGACAAGTGGAGCAACACGCAGGAGTGATCATGTGAAACTGTCGCAGCTGTGCTCATCTCACTCACGCGCCACCCGCAACCGGAGTTTAACAGACACAGCGGGCAGAGAGAGAGAGACTGACCCTTCAGTGTGAGTTTCCTGATGCGGTGCCACTCAATCAGCTGACTGCCTCTCTCTCTCGGTTTTTGTTACAAAACGGAGACCTTCTGCTACGTTTCCGCCTCCCGTCCAGATTAAAACGGTGAATCAGAAGATGTTTGTTTGAAAACGCTGCTGACCCGGTGGACAAAACAGGACTTTATAAAACGATGACACTCACATTTGGCTTTGTGACTCGGTCTTATCAGTCATGCAAAGCAAAGACACGATGCGTTTTAGTTTTGGTATTTTTATTAAAATATAAGTACTGTGTAAATAACACAGTTAAGCCTAGCCTACTGTGCATGTCGCTGTATGTATGTTGCGACAACTCCCAGTCTGTTTTCCCCTGCCGTCTCTCGTACGAGAGTGGTGTGTGGTACCTGGTGTGGTTCTTGGTCTGTATTACTTTCTTCTTTCGCTCAATCGTCTGCTAAGGCGGAGTGACCATCTGCTTCGTGTTTACGCTGGCACGCGCATGCCCAGTGTAGCTACCTGAACGGCCACTAGTGTGTTTTCAGTCGTTTTAATATAGACAGAGATCAACTCTGATACGCAGCTGAAACGCTGCTGTGGACGGAGAAGATCGGTTTCGTTATAAAACTGTTTTAAAAACGTAGCAGTGTGGATGTAGCCTCACATTACCCCACTCCTCTCTCTACTCCTCTCATGTCAACCCTCCCGTTTTCCCCCAGATTCTCCCGTATTTTTCCGTTCTCACCCGGTATCCACCCGTTAAATGTTTCCCCGGAAATCTCCCGTATTTTTCACCTTTATGAAATCAAATAAAAACCTTCTCCGTATTTAAAGTGTTTGCTACTCTCTCCTCTGGTAAAGTCGGTGGCAGCATGTAAGATATGTAGACTGTGCTTGCTGCACAAGGATTAAAAATGAAAACAATCCACTGAAATAATATAAAGGCCTATAGCCTACTAATGGCAAACCATATGAAATTATAATGAATATAGTAGCCTATGTAATATTAACAATTGACAGTATAATATGGAATTTACATTGTAGCCTATTTTTATTTATTTAAATTTTCCTTATTTTCAAATCTCATTGAAGGCAGTTTTGACTCCCCTCTGTAGCCCTTCTCCCTCTATCTGCTCCTCTCTCTCCCCTAAAGCCCACAGAACCTGCCTGAGCTTTCCAGAACAAAAAGCAGCTACTTCAGAGTTTATCATCGACTCATGACGCCTGTGCTCCTTTATCTCCTAAATATTTTGGCTACAGCCTTTTTTGTTGCAGTTTTTATGGTTGTAGTAAATTTATAAAGATGCTGTTTGTTCTGTTTTTGTAGTTTATTCCACAGTAAAGCTATATTTGTTAAGCTAGAAGATGTTCACAGTAACCAGGCAAAGGCTGCAGTGGTTTAAGTCTCTAACACAGATTGAGCAGAATTTGTTGCCCATGTTTCCTGGTAATAAAATAAACAGTTGTCATTTCATGATACTTTATCATCTGTTAACTTTAACACTTAATAAATTGTTTTTAGGACCAATTAAATAAATATACAGTATACTGTATAATGCTACATGATAAATAAAAGGCTCCAAATAGACCCAGTGATCGGTATCGGCCGATGCTGCTTTCAGCAATCAGCCCAAAAAATCCTGATCGGAGCACCTCTACTACATAACCGCGGGCACCCCCTTTTATGGAGGTCGCTGTATTTTCTCATCATGTTTCTACCGTAGCCGTCAGCGAACAAACAGCGTGACAGAGCGCGTTTCGTCATCACGCCGTTCTTCTTCTGCTTGTGTAAGTCTGGTAGTGTAGACGTCTGTCACTACGTTGAATACGTACAAAGAAGAAGAAGAGGGAATAATAATAATAATAATAATAATAATAATAATATTATACAGTCTCTGAGTAGTCTTCTGGTTTATTAGAAGTAAGAAGAGAAGTGACATTTGGACAACTGAAGGAGCACACACATGTGTTATTTAGGAGGAGAGCCAACAGCCTGACTGAGTTGGGACAGACAGCACTCAGGGGACAGACCGCTGACGGCAGAAATCACAGATTTTGTGGATTTTCCCAGATGGAAGGCTATAACATTAATGTGGGACAGATGTTTTCAAAGCGGTGCTGAAGTTGTCCGTTTTCTGCTGGACAAGTAATTAACTTTGTTTGTCAGACTTTAGCGATGCAAATGAAAACTGTTGTTTGATAGCTTTAGCTAGAAGCTGGCCATAATCACAGAGAGCCGTGACATGTTTCCCCTGTCAGTGGTGTGAAACATGGATTAATTTCATGGCGCCTACTTATTCTCCAGCCTGTGGTTTGGCTTTGACGGTTACTTAGCGAGACAATCAGCTGATCAGTAACGTTAATTGGCAATAAAACCCTAAGGTTAGCTTAGAGCATGGAAGCATCAGCCAGCTAAACTTTTACTGACTGGTAGAAAAACCATTTATTGTTAGTTGGATTGGTTTATTCTCCAGCGCTGTGCTTTGGCGTTTGGTGTTACGTTAGTTGGATTAATTTTATGTAGTGACTCTCTCTCTCTCTCCAGCGCTCTGTTTTTGGCTTTGTATGTTATGTTCGTGAGAATCAGCTGATCGCTAATTGGCAATAAAACGGCAGCTTCCAGCATCGAAGCTCAGATCAGCCAGCTAAACTTTGAAAAAATATGTAGTTGGATTGTAATTTCATGTAGTTCTTCTCCAGCACTCTGTTATGGCTTTGTTACGTGGACAGAAATGCGCCGTTACCTTCCTGAGACAAACAGCTGATGAATATTATTGGTAATGAAACGGTAACAGTAGGGAAGCTCAGACCAGCAGCTAAACTTCACATTTTACTACCCTGGTGGAAAACATGTATTTCTTTTTACTGCTAATGGTGATATATAACAAGAGCGTGCGCCTATCAAGTGACCAATAATAAATACTTTCCAAATTTGCATTAAAAAAAACATATGAGCTATTGCTTCCCACTGTGCACACAAATATGTAATTTGTACTTTCACATGCTAAATGCCCATTAAAAACTTTAGCTATACTGCTCGCTTGGGTAGGGGAGGAGGGTGCGATTCACAACCCTCACCACTAGATGTCACTAGAACTTACACACTGAACCTTTAACATCATGGGGTTAAATAGTGTGCCATACCTGCCAGTGGCAATAATGATTGAGGATTGACAGATTGGTGCTTCACTGAAAACTTGGAAAAGTCATATTACTCCTGAGTTACACCAGAATAGGAATATATAAAGCACATATTGAAAAATCATTGGGTTATTTGGTAGAAAAAAAACATAGTGAAAACTAGTTATCAACTACTTACACTAAGATGTCTACTGAAAATCAGAATCAGTTTTATGAGATCTGGAATAAACCAAAGCTGCGTACTTATTGTCAAATTATTTAAAAAAAAAAATTAGTTATTTTAATGAAAATTGTGCTCTTTATAAGGTGTACTTATGTACAGATTAGAGCTGGTATACTGCCCATTTCACACTGAAAGGGTTTGGTACAATGAGAAGAAAGTCAAATTTACCGTGTGTGATCACATATAAATAAAGAGTGAGCATAATTAAATTTTTTACTGTCCTTTGTACTGTAAATTTCATGATCTTTTGTTTAATGACATGAAGCATACACGTGAGTTACTGGATATGAATGACTCACATTATCTGAAATAGTTGTTTAAAAGAGAGAACTTCAATTTGGCAGCTTATTTAGTGACTCCATGAGAGTTCAGGAAGAAAACCTTGTATCTGCAAGCAGTGGATGATTACTATTGTTAAATCATCTGGACTGGTTTGAAGACAACACAGCTGGAAACTGTTCACTTTTGTGACAGTATTCCCCCTCTTGTAAATGTGTCTCATAATCCCATAAGTGGTGGGCCATGAGATGGCAGGACACTTAATTGAAATCCAACCCATTCATTTCGTGTGTGTGAGTCAAAAGCACTGTCAGGGGTGTCTACAGCATTGGCCTATTTGCCTAGTGTAGGCCCATTTCTACAAACATGGATACAAATGTGTCTGCTTGACATATTTTCCATCCTTGTATTGTATTATGCCTACTAGCCCAGATCCAGGGCCGCCCTTGATCAGAACTACACTTAAACAATGCATCTTATCTGTACCTCCAGGCCAAAGTACTTCATCCATTCCTCTATGGCAGGGGGTATTGCAGCCTTGGCTTTCCCCAGGGCCTCTGAGCCCTGCTCACTGCTTCCCAGCAGACCAGAGTCACAGGCGACGTAAAGAGCTCCTCCTGCAATGGTCACCTTGGTGGCCAGTCTGAAAATGAAACAACAGAGACAGTCAGGTTATAAACCAGGATTACACACCCCTGTATCCAGTCGAAAACACGATTACACGCTACTATTACTACAGTACACCACTTAAGAAGAAGTTACCGGTTAACGTTAGTAAGCTATTTATAAAACATTAGCGAACGAAGAAAATCGACTTAAATTTGACCAACGTCCATTCATATATTTATGGAATAAAATATAGTTATTGGGTCAACTAACTAACAATCAAACCACTAAGAAAGCTAAATGGTAACATGACAGCTGGAAAGCTCTCGAGCAGACTAACAGTTAACTTAGCCTCAGGTAGCTAACTGGCTAACTGAATAGCTAGCACCGACAGCATCACTGACTTAACGGGAATTACGAGTGAAATTAAAAATACTAACTTCAATACGGGCAAAATCTTTGCAGCCATGGTTCACAGCGGTGTAGTTTCCTTTTACGTACTGCTATTAACGTTCCGCCTATTATGAGCTGGGGTGAAAGCTATCCAGATACACTGAAGGACGACCCTGCCTGAGTCCTGTACACAGGGGTTGTGTCAATAAAGTTGCCCTTTCAAAAGCTAGCGCAAACGTTATTTAAGAGCAGCAGATTCGTAACCCTCTTTTTATTCATTTATATCTTTATAGTCATATTAATTACAATTTGACGCCTTCATTTAAAGGAAGTGCTTTTTGAAACACCTGACATATACAATTTGTAATTTGTATCTCAGGACTTGATCAGCTATCTGAACCTCGACGTCCAAGTGAACACACCCCGTTCATTCATGGCCAAGAGCAAGAGAGGAGGGATTTACGTTAAGTTGCATAAATGGCATTTTTCACATTCTCGTGCAAGGCAGTTTGGCAACAGATTTGAAGTCTGGACTCATTACTAAACACTCAAAGCTGCTGAAAAACAACTACTATCACGTTTACAAAAGGTTACAAAATGGGAACTTTTACAAAAATCTTATTAGCAAGTTTATTTGTTGTTTTCCTAGCTGTCAAGTGGACTGCACCCAGGTTTGACGCAGGTAAGAGATACTCTTGCAAGAACAAAGGGAATGTGATTTGAACTCTTGTAACATGCCTATTTTTAATATTCAATAACTACACTGTTATGAGCTGTAGCGTCTCCAAAATCACCTCACATGTCAGTGATCTCCTGCTTGTGATACTACAGCACTTAGTATGCAGAAATATAGTTTTGCATAATTTTGGGGAATCTGGAACTCTCTTTCCCGATTATTCCAACAACACATGAATGCAACTTTAGCTTTACATTTACATTTACATTTAACCTACTCATTTGGCAGACGCTTTTATCCAAAACGACTTACATTTGAGAAACAACATACAAGGATCCACAAAACATCAAATACAGCACAAGATCTACAATTGATAATACATACTAGTAAGAACACTAATAAATACTAGTAAGAGCTAATAGCACATATCGCATCAATTGGGTAAATACCTAGGGAAAGAAGTAACAAAAAGTGCAATCAATACAAGATGATTGTGAGGGGATATAAAAAGAAGGGCACAGGAAGTGCATGTTAGAGGTTAGGAGTTAGAGGTGTTACAGGTTATTCATTGACAGCTTGGTGTGAAACACGCTCAGTTGATTAGGGGGCAAGATTGTCTACGCAACAGTAACTATTCATTAGTGGGAGAGTCTAAAGAAATCATCTAAGGATAAAGAAACTTCTTAAAATAGAACACTGAATCTCGGTATCATATTTGGCAAACAATTGTATTTGCACAAATGTTTGTTCTTTCTGAATTGGAGTAAATATAAACTCAGGACACTTGGGAGGATTATGATGAACAAAATTCCATACCATGTATAATCCCAAATCACAAGGGTTAAAAACACATTAACATTATTTAAAATGCTCAAATATAATTCATCTTTAATCAGCAGTCTCCATGCCACGCTTGAATATGGACCTTGTAAACCCATCATGTGAATGTTTAAGTGACGGGATGCTGTACATGTTTACTGCTCTGCATTGCATAAAATATCTGTGTGTAATATGATGATGAAGTTCAGTGTTCCCCTGGGGAAATTTAGGAAAGGAAGCACAAACTGAGCGAGTAATTGGTGATAATCTGACATGCTTTCTGCCTGTGACTGAGCAGACAGAGAACATTTGTCCATTTTGCGAGGATGCAATGTGCAGTCAAGATTCCAAAAATAATGAAATTATATGGTTTGAGTCAATGGGGTAGTGTTAATGTACTTGCATATCCCCGTGTTCAGTTTTGTAACATTGTCACCTTGTAAAAAAAACTACTACCACAGTTGATACAACAGCTTAATGAAGATATTAATGTGACATTTCATATGATGGCATTTTACAAATGGAGAGTGAAACTTGATGGTTTGTTTGAGATGCGCTCTGCATCTAAAGACATTATCGTAGGAGTGCAGTTTTGCATGAAATTGCAGCAAATTCTTAACTTTCTTGTATTTTTACATGTGGAAATAACGGGGGAACCAAGTGTGGTTGGTGACAAAACAAAATGACAAAAAAAGTATACATACTTATTAGTTAGTTTTTCTGGGGCACAGCCGGACCTCACTGATACAAACTGTACAAAACCACAACTTTATAAGCTGATTTAGGTGAAACTGGATAATATGTTATGTAGAAAATATTTTCTGGTTTTCCCTCTGATGTCCTCTGGCTGCTCTGCCTCACCTCTGTGATTTATGGAGTTTCCTGATAGGCCGATAGCTTTACTTGTTGCATTTTATAAATGGACAATGAATGATTTGAATGATGGTATTTTTTAAGTTGCACTCTGCATCTAAAGACATACAACGGTGCATTATCGTAGGAGTGCAGTTTTGCATGTAATTTCAGCAAATTCTTATCTTTTTCGTGTTGAAATAACAAGAGGACAAAGTGTGGTTGGTTGTACATTAAACCTGGATCTGAAGGAGTGATCAAGGCACTGAATGAGTTTCTACTGGTTACCTGGGCAGAAAACAGTGCAGAGTAATAAATAAACACAGTATCTGACTATTTTATCACAAAGGGGACATATGATGTTTTGAGTCCAATGAGCAATGAGTCAAAGTCGAGAAGTTTTATTATGTTGAAACAACATATAGTAGACTTTTGAGTGGTTTATCTTTCTATGGTAAATGCTTACGTGCTGAAAAAATCATTATGTTGAAACAAAATATGGTGGACTTTGATTGGTTTATCTTTTATCAGTGGAACTCCACTTAAATGTTTATTCATTTACATCAATTTACATCTGTGTTTACAGCTAATATGAGTATATCTAATGTGTGTTTCATGTGTCTCACAGAATCTCTCAAAGGTGCCAGGGTATTGGTGACTGGGGCCAGTACGGGTATTGGTGAACAAATTGCATATCACTATGCCCGCTTTGGAGCCCAGGTAGTAATTACAGCAAGGCGGGAGAAAGTGTTACAGCAGGTCAGTGAACTTGGCAACATACAAATGGACTCAAAGCTCAGACCAATACATCATGCCTGGTTAATTACAAACATTCACTTGTTTGAAGTGCCACGAGTGTTCTCTATTTTGCAACTGCATTGGCCAGTTGATCCGTTCTTTCTGATCTTTGCTTACAGGTGGCAGAGAAGTGCCTGAGTTTGGGAGCCCAGAAAGCTCTGTACATAGCAGCAGACATGGCCAGTGAGTCAGACCCTGAAAAGGTGATAAATTTTGCTTTGGAAAAGCTTGGAGGGTTGAATTACCTAGTTCTCAACCACATTGGCCCTAGCCCCTTCAGCATGTGGGAGGGAGATGTGGAGCACACCAGGTGGCTGATGAAGGTAGTGCAGCATTTTCATGGTCTATATTAGCACATAAAATGAGGGCTATGCACTGATCTCTGTATTTGCACGTGTGTGTGTGTGTGTGTGTGTGTGTGTGTGTGTGTGTGCGTGCTTTTCAAAGGTCAATTTCTTCAGCTATATTCAGATGGCTTGGAAAGCTTTGGCCTCCCTTGAGCAAAGTAAAGGATCACTGGTGATTGTTTCATCACTTTTAGGTTGGTTTACCACATCATTTACATACACATTTTAAGTCAGCAAACCATATGCCTATACATGCATTATTACTTGCAAATATTTTTCGCCCATTAATTACAAATAACGTATAGTTTGGCCTGATTATATAAATAATAACCATATGTTATGTTACATAGTTTATGTTTTATACTTTAAACTTCCCTTGTATCGCACTATTTTATAATAAAGTTACAAAGTGCATTACCAGGAAGAGTAAAATGAAAATAAAGAATACTTGGACTAAAACCATTTTGAAAACATGATGAAAAATGTTAAGTTTCCAAGTCCATTTCTTTCTGACCACTTACAATAGGGTTTCTTACTAGGAAAAAAACACAAAACACTTTCCCACTTTTTCTACTATAATACTCGAGCTGCTGAAGAAGATCATGTCATGTGATCAAAAGCTCCAGAACAGCTACTAAATAGATCTCAAGGTCAGATTGTTTAGTCACATGTTGAAAAATACTGAAATTATTGAAATATTTTAAATACTGTATTTTCCTAATCTCACTTGTGTTTTAATTTGCTATTTCATGGTTTAAAATGTGCCACTCATTATAGTAAGGATTTGAGTTTGGCAGATGAGTTTATAAATAGTCCTAACCACTTGTAAATGTTGTACTTATGTATAGTGATCCTAATTCTAAGGTTATTTGTAATTTGTAAGTGTGCACTTGTTAAAATCAAATGTGCAAGTAGTTTTAAATGAGGCCCCTTAAAAGGCCACAATAGTTTCTGACAAGATTTTGTTGGAAAACCTTATCGATGCTTCACAGGTAAAATGTCCAGTCCCTTCGTAGCACCGTATACCTCAACAAAATCTGCCTTGAATGGTTTCTTTGGGGCCTTTTATCATGAGCTTGCTATGAAGAGGAGCAATGTGTCCATCTCTATATGTACACTGGGGCTCATTGATACTGAATCAGCTATGGAGAAAGTCAGGTTAGTCAAGTTTACAATGAGTGTTATTAACCAAAGTGTCACACAGCAAAATGATCACTGATACTTACATACTGATATGCTGCAACTTATTTGGCTTTTTTTTACTACTGTTATCCACAGTAGTTAAGAGCAGTATTTTTCTGTACCCCAGGGGAGTCACTAATGTTCCAGCCTACCCTGCCACAGATGCCGCCTTGAACATCATCATTACAGGAGCTACAAGACAGCCGGAGCTCTTCTACCCTTGGTTCACCCAGGTTATAATTCTTACCAAAGACTGGTTCCCTTCCATCACAAACTATATCATCCAGAACTCCTACAACTACAGCCCATGAGAAACATTCTGCATCTGCAGTACCATTATGCATGTTCTAGATTAAATACATGGTTTATTGTTTGGTTAGATCTTCATATTTATCTGACATTGATACACTGGGCATGATGATGCTGTAGACAGCCTTGTCTGTGATTAATAAATTCCACTATCCTAATTTACCTTTTGCCTGTTTTGGGGGTATTTTTGCCCTCATTTAATAGTGGATGGTTGTGATGTGACAGGAAAGAAGGGGAGGGAAAGGGTGGGAATGACATGCAACAAAGGTTATCTAGCTGGAATCGAACCTGAGATGTTGTTATCAGAGTATAAGGTCTTAAAACACTTAAGCCACCTGGACACAAAGAAATATCACAGCACAAAGAACAATTATCAACTCCGCAACTACGTATTAGTAAGGCTTTATAATTTAAAAGTAATAATAATTTTTAAAAAATGATAACACAAATAGTTTTTTTAAAAATGTATTTTGTAATCAAAACATTCAGTCATACCAGCCACTCATAAGGATCAAGTACATGCTCAATACTGTAAAGAGGCTTTAATCTGAATGGAACAGTACTTTAAATGTCCACATGAGGGCAGTAGTACCAAAGTAGTGAAGTAAGTAAGATTACTTATCTATCTACAGCAACCAGCGAAGTGCATAGTCTGTTAATAAAAATCCTTAATAGGAATCCTTAATTTGATTTGAAATATTTTTATCTAAATATTGTAATAAAATATATATATAAAGGACCAGTGTGTTCACATTTTGAATCATCCGATTTTAAAATTTCCTTTTTTTTTTAAAACCTCCATCACCATATCAATCCTCAACCCTCCCTGTTCTTTTTCCTGAGTTCACTGTTCTCTACCCCTGGGTTCCTCTCCATCTCCATTCTTCTCTGTTTCATTTAGTTTCTTCTTTCCAAAGCTGGCCACAGTAGGCGTTGCAGACTTCCTACAGAGCAGGACTTTCTCAGTGGGTTCCTTTGTGTCTTTGTTCATCATCCCTCAAAAGCACCGCAGGCTTCCTGTGAAGCTGTTGGCTCAATCCGTCCTGGTGGTCTTTTCTTTATTGTAATACACCCTAGAGGTTGTACCCTGCTGATAGAATGGATTTCTACTGTATAGTGAGTTGTCAATGTCAAAAGAAATGCCTTGCTAAAAATTAGAGTGTGATTTGAAAAGTTGAGAAACAAAAAGTAGAGCACTTTCTCTTTGATGTATATAAATGACTCTCCTAGAGCAAGAAGAAGTGGCCTTGAATCTGTAATATAAAAGTTTGCACCGTTCTCCTGCACTTTGCTTTTTTCTTGTCGTCTTTTGATTGATATGACTGATGGGAGACGTTATTGGAATACATGTTCTCTTTGTCCTTATCTTGACATGAGATAAGGACACAATGATCTGATTTGATTGTGGAGATGGTATAATCTCCCTGCAGGTGCCGTGGTAAGAAATAAAAAACCTCTCTTCCTTCCTCTCGCTCCTTCTGTCTCTCTCTGTCACACACACACAAATATGGTGGGGCCTCCTGGGGAGGAGAGCAGGCATGGCCTGGGAGAACAGCCAGAAACACCTGCAACAGATTAGTGTTCCTAATGCTAGGTAATAAATCCTCTCACCTTCTCTAGAATCTCCATCTCCTTCAAGCGTAGACCTTATAGGCTGAAGACCATCCACCCACCACACTCACTGTAACACACAAAAAATATAGTGTCAAACACTCAAACCTTGATACATCTATAGATATATATATATATTGTCTTTCTCTGTTATTTTCTACTGCTGCAAATTAAACTACTCTACGCTTGCATATTCTCTATCTTGTTGGTTCAGTATAACTGAGGTTCTCCCCCAGGGTTGTAGACTGGGCTCTATATTAAGATCAAACATTTTCATTATGACTGCAAACAACCAAGGCCAAGACCAAAGCTGGCTCAGCTCGGCAGGCTTTACTTACTACACATAAAACTTGAAAGGTGGCAGACTGATTGGCCAATTGGACTCTTACCCACAGAGGTTTGTAATGGAGGTTGAATTCTGCTTTAATATCCGTGATACAGCATATTATTAAATCTCTATGTCGACAGATAAAGAAAGACTATCTGTATATGTGCTACAGTAGTAAAATCAAATGACATGTAAAAAAGGCCGTATCCTTTTTCCAGATAGCATACAGTGTCCTCGCTTTTATGTTTACACGTTTGCTGAAGCTGCAGAAATGTCATGTTTCAGACCATAAATAGTCACCTATCCATGGCGATAGTAGAGTGCACCTCAACCATCATGCGCCAGTCCCAATTTATGATGCTTTCTTGTCCTGCTTCTTTGAGCACAAAGGACACTGCTCCACAAATCTCCGTCCAGCTTCATCCCTCAGTTACTTTGAGCACTACAGAAAGAGCGGCCTTGATGCACACACACATACATCATGTCATGCATGTTTGCTGACTTGTGTGTAGTGTGTGTGTGTAACACTTATCACCCACCGACTTATAAATGGATGACCAACTGATGAGAACAGGACTTAGGAGCCTCCTGTGTGAAGGTGGAAGTGGGGGTGGCAGAGTACACTGTAAAAAGGTAACACATGATGTATGTGACACAATGACAGTACTCCAGAAAAGAAGATGTAAGGAGCAATTGAAAGTTATTACTGCAAGAGACTTAGCACAAAAAAATATAAATAATTACTGTAATTTAATAAATGTACTTTCATTTTATTGGTCTCTCAACTGTACTGCTTTTAGTTAAATGCATTCATAAAATAATAAAAACAAATGTGGTGCCCTCTGATGGAGGGTGTCCAGGGTGTACCCCGCCCGATGTCAGCTGGGATTGGCTCCAGCCCCCCGCAACCCTGTATGCAGGAGAAGCGGTTGATGATGGTTGGATGGATGGACAAATGTGGTCATTAAATAAATACATCAACATTTTGTTCAAAATACTGTTTTCTATCTGAGAATTACATGAAAAGATTAATACCACTCATATTTTTGATAGTAAGAATATAGCTGGAGGCAGCAGCCGGTTAGCTTAGCTTGGCATAAAGATCAGTTACATGAGTCTCCACTGATTCCTTGACAACTGGTCCCAAGAAATATTCAGCACATAGGCCTTTTTAAAATGGAAAATTAACATTTTTACACTTACTTTACAGTTAGTTTTAGAGGTGTTGGTAGGCAGATTTTGATTCCATTGGATAGAGCCAAGCTAGCTGTTGCCAGTCATATGTTAATCTAACTTAAGCTAACCAGTTCCAGCTACATATTTAAATGACAGATAAGCGAGTGTTATCAATCTTCTTAGAATATACTATATGTGTATACTGTATTAGATTGGAAATGTGAATTATTTTGAAGCTGCAAGACCTACTGAGGAGTTGCTGCTGCATAAAACAAACAAATATGTGAACATGTGTTCTGTACATGTTCACATATTTGTACAACTCAAGTAGGTTTGTCTTTGTAGGCTGCTGGTAGGAAAATTCCATAAATAAATTGCAAATTGTCTGTGGAATAAATGTTGATCTAAAATCATTAAGTTGAAACTGGCTATTGCTCTACGTAGCTCGTGTGAGCTGATTAATGTTTAAAAGAATGTTAATCTTCCTGAATACTGAGCTTGTGCATGACCTCCAAAAAGTTTTCACAAAACATTGCTCTATGATAACAAAAGGAGAGAGCGAGCAAGAGAGACAAAGGGGGAGGGGACGGGGGGATGAAAACCTATGAAAGGGAGCGTCAGTGTGAATAAAAACTGTGGGTGTGAGAGGTGGCTGAGGTGGCCCTGTGACCCCTGACCTCCTTCCCCCAGGTCCATTGAGAGTAGCACAATGGTTGACACCTGTGTCCTTTCAGTACTGGCACTATTATTATTTACATCAGTCAGTGGGAGCTAGAGGGACAGACAGAAAGAGGCCAGAGGTGCTGTGAAGCAGAGTGCACCAGCCTCATGCCAACAACACCCCCTCTTCCCTTCTCTCTTTCAAAGACAGGTGCCCTTCTATCTCTCCCTCTCTCTGTCTGCCAGTCTCTTCCTCTTTAATTATTTCAGATAACTCCAAACACATCAGCAGAAGGAGAGGATCCACAAAGTGGAGAGGCGGGGTGTTTTTACATCCTGTATCACCATTAACACAGAGGGCATCAGATTGGGTCTGGGGTGGGGGTGGGAGAGGTTGGGAGTTTAAAACGTTAATGCATACGTTAACAGGAATACACTTTTAACTCATAAAATTTCCGCTGCTGATTTCTCTTTCAATAATTTGGCACCTGCTGAAGCAAGAAAGAAGAATTTGGCCCAACACATCCAAATATGTTTCAGTTGCATTTGATTAAATGTGGAGTTAAAAATAGAGATTTGCCTGTATGTATGAGTTTAATGATGTTCACAGGACAATGCATTTATTATGTACTTGTCATTTATCCCTCTCTTGCTGATCTGGCTGGTGGGGAGAGTCACAGGGAGCATGGGTGGCAGGCTGGGGGTTACATGAATTCTTCTCTTTTTTTTCATTGGGGGAGAGAAAGCCCAATTAACAAAGGATAAGAAGTGAACCGTAAACACCCTCAACAAGGCCCAACAAACCTACGAGAACAAGAGCTGTCCCTCTCTCTCTCTCTCTCCCTCGCTCTCCCTCTCTCTTCCTGTCCCACTCTGCTGGCCACTCCTCCTCCCCCCTCTTGCTCACTCACTCTCTCTTCCACTTCCCTCACAAAAGGAAGGCTCAGAGCTTACAAAGTGCCAATTAACACTGAATGTTTGCCCCTCGCACCTCCCTCTCTGAACTGCTGACAGCTCTGGTGTTTGGGTTAATACCAAAGGCCTGCAAAGAATTATAATTCTCCTCCTTGCCCCATCCCCCCGTCTCTCCCTCTCCTATCCTTTTATTTTGTTTCCAATGGGGTGGTTTTACAGTTCAATGCACAGTCAAAGAGTGATATAAAATGACTTTCCAAAGAATTTCATTTGGGGAGAAGAGGGGCTGTGTTGCATTGGGGCAGCCAGGGGCACAGCCAGGGATAGGGAGGGTTGCGGGGTGGGTGCCTGGTGAGGCAGAGAAAGAGACACAACCATAAATTAATAGTTTTTGCAAGCATCAAATGATCATTCACTCTAATTTCTGTCACTAAAGAAGACATTTATATGAGTTATTCCTTATTTTTTTGTTGCTATTTCTCCTTCCATCATCAGCACATTGTATGCAAAAAATAATGCAAACATGACCCGAGGTAACACACAAGTGAACACACACTTATGTGCACGCACACATAGCTTTTCTCGCCAATTGGGACTGTGGGTCCCACTTGAGATGAAGATAGCAGCGTGGGTCATTTATCACTGGCAGGGCTGAGGGCTGTGCTATGCTTGTTTTTCTCCCTTGTGAACTCCAATAAATCAGCCTACTGAATAAAAGAGCGGCCAATGAGAAGAGGTGAGAGGGTTAAACTCGGAGAGAAACAGAGACCACTAGACTCTTTAAGAGGGCTTCTGCCTGCACTCAATTCCCTGGGCCAACTGGGTCTGTCTTGACAATTTATGACCTCTTGGTACCAGGTCTCTCCTCTTTCTTTACTTTGGGCTAAGGTGCCCAGTTGAAATGGGTTATCCCTGGGAATGGAGCAAAGCTTGAATTGGATTGTGCTTATGTTGAGAAAAGGCTTCATGGATTCTGCTCGATCACAATATAGTTTGAAAACGACACACTAAATGACTTGCATGTAAAGGGAAACTGTTCCAGTTTTACATATCTAAGTCTGTTTACAGGTCTTGGGGAGTACTACTGCATATATGAAAAAAGTTGTGGCTTTTTTTAAGGCTCCATAGAGAGCTACTAGTGATGTCACTTGAGTCAGCATCGACTGGGGCTGACTACATGTTTGAAAAAGAAAAAAAATCTGGAGGGGGTAGATAGAAAGAAGTAAGTTTACCTGACCGCTGTAGCCTGCTCCTCATCTCTGCTTGAGGCTAGTAGCATGACGCTACATTAGCCAAAACTAGCATTACACACAAGAATCTCTGACTCAAATGTTGGCATGTTGTGACTGAATACAAGTATCTGGGTGTCTGGATTGATTCGAATCTCTCTTTTAGAACTCATGTAAAAAGCATTTGCCAACGAGTTAGATTTAATTTATGTAACTTTAGATTTGTTAGGCAATCACTCAGCTTTGAAACTGCTATGATATATATGAATTCCATGATTATCCCGCATTTTACATATTGTTTGACAAGCTGGGCACAGGCTAACAAATCCACAATGAAGCCACTCGAAAGTCTTTATAAACAAACTATCAAAGTTTTAGATTGGAAACCTCATAGTTTTCACACCTGTCAAATTTGAAATACCCATAGGCTTCTGAGTTGGGAAAACTTGATCAATTATAGTAACCATTGTCTAATTTATAAGATATTGCACAGCACTGCCCCACCTCCACTGAAAAGATTTGTTATGCAGAGAGCAGGCACTCATGTTACCAGAGGTATCACAAGAGGGGATTGTATCATTCCCACTCGAAGAAGTGCTTTTAGTCAGTCTGCGTTCTCTGTAACAGCATGTAAACAATGGAATCTATTGCCAATGCTGATAAGAGAAGCAAATACTTATTGTTTTTTTACTGGTCAGCTTAAGAACTGGCTAATTAATAATCAGATATGTGCACATTAGACTACTGAGTGCCTACTGAGATTTGTTGCTTGTTTGCAGATTGTCTTTTGTCAGTCTTTTTCATCTCTCGTTATGTTTTGCCTATGTTGTTTGCTGATATGTTGTTTGTTACTTATTGTTGTGTGTTGTACCTGTCTTAATAC